TGCCTGCCTCGCCACACAGCATGCCTTTTTAATTACAGCAAGAAACTGTGCAGAAATTATGAACGTGGTAACGAGGTAAAAAAAAAATTATTAATTCGAGCGAACGTTTTGCAGTTCGTGGGTGCGTTTTTGTTTATTCGTTGTCATGCTTTATTTTTTAACTGAATGCACGTTGTTTATTTTTTGATTCGTGCGCAAAATCAGTGTAGTAGATACAGGTCGTGGTTTTTGTCTGGTGCAGAAGTAACTAACAGCTCCCTGAGACTGTCTGACGGGTTTTGATGAGTTAGATTGATGAGATAATGAACAGAGAAGCTCATCAGGTCTGATTCTGATTTGGGGGTTGTGAGGAAACTGCAGCTCCTCTTCACAACAAACGGCCCTCAGATTCATCAGTGTAGCTGCAGTTTGGTGGAGAAATGAAGGAAGACGACAAACTACAACCACAATCTTCACTAAACTGCCCTGTCTAATGATCATATTTAACAGAGACAGAGACGCTTAGCGCTGTTTCCGCTCCCTCAACAAGCTGCGGTGTTAGAGATCATCACACAATTACAGGGAGAAATGAGCAGCGTCAACGTTTCAACAAACTCAAATTAACCACACACGGACACACTCATGTGGGATGAGGTCAAATTGCGGGAGAGTTTAATAGATCTATGGATTAGATGTAGATATATTAATGTGAGGATGTTTAAACGCTGATCATTTCGTCCTGTAATTGTGCGATGGTCCCTAACACCGCAGCTTGACCAGGAGCAGAAACACCGTGGGCCGTTCGCTGTGAAGAGGAGCTGCATTTTCCTCATAACCCCCCAAATCAGAATCAGACCTGATGAACTTCTCTGTCCATTGTCTCATCAATCTAACACGTCAAAACCCGTCAGACCGTCTCAGGGAGCTGTTATCAAAACACAAACAACGAGCGTTCAGTTAAAAATAAAACATCACCACGGTTAAGAGAAAACGAGGGAACGAACTAGAAAATCGTGATCACGAATAAAAAAACGTACCCACGAAGTAAAGAAAACGTGCGCACGATTAAAAGAAAACGAGGGAACGATTTAAGAAATCGTGACCACGAATAGGAGAAAACGTGCGTGCGAACTACAAAGCGTTCGCTCGAATTATTATTATTTTTTACCTCCGTCCCTCCGTACACACACACTCCTCTTTGATGCTCTATCTGGAACTTTGCTGCTAATACAGTGTTTGCAGTTTGTTCACTCCAGTACCGTGTATATCCTTCCTCAGGGACTGCTGTGCTCACGTATGTTACAATCTGACTGCGTAAACCCACGTTCAACGCTCGCCTGGAGCGGTGGGCAGCCCTATCCACAGCGCCCGGGGAGCAGGTGGGGGTCAGGTGCCTTGCTCAGGGGCACCTCAGTCATGTACTGTCGGCTCAGGGGATCAAACCGGCGACCTTCCGGTTGCAAGGCAGGTTCCCTAACCTCCAGCCCACCTCTGCCCTTATTCCACTACCTCATGCACAGAAATGAGTGCTGTGTCGGCGCTGCACTGTCCTGTCTGTTTACTGTGTGTAATGTCTGTTTTATTTATCATATTTATTGTATTGATTCTAGTTTCATTTTCACACTTACGTTTGCACTTTGTACTGTCTATTTTGTTCCGTGTTGCACCGTGTTGTTCCTGGAGGAACGTAATTTCACTCCACTGTGTACTTGTACATAGATGGAATGGCAATAAAAGCCTCTTGACTTGACCTGACCTGAGAGTGGTTTGGTGTGAAACGTTCTGTTCTAGAGAAACTTATAGTCAGAGCTGTTCACAGTGGTGGTGATAGGAACCAGACGTCCACCTCTAAAAGCTCCCTCACAGAAAGTTACTACATGAAATGGTGAGGGAGAATTTTAATATAATATAGAACTATTATAGTGATATAGTGAATATAATGAAAAGTGAATATAAAATAGTGAATTATTTTAATCATAATTAATGAATTATTTCAATTATAATTAATCATATTACATTAATGCTGTACTGTATGTCCTTTTTCTCATATTAGTACTGTGTGTGCCTCTCTCTCTCTCTCTCTGTGTGGTTTTCTCCTGATGAGAGTGTGTCAGTGTGTGACCATGAGAATGTTGCAGGTGATGAACGATGTGTGCCAAGTAAGCTTTTCCCAGGGGCAGCACACGCTTGGGATGACACCTGCTTATCCTTTATCAGTATTAATGACAGCTGCTTGTTCTTAATCAGTATTAAGATGTCTCTAAGGGGGAGAACACACATACATAGAGAGACTAAGGCCCAGTCCCATTTCACCCCTCGCCCCTACCCCTCAGCCCTTAGCCCTCTGTTTTGCACGTTCTCGTCTAGGGGTAGGGTGTCCCAATTTTAGTTGAGATGGAGGGGGAGGGTGAAGTGTTGGGGCTACATGGCCCTCCAAACGGAGGTTTTTCAGAGACTCCAAACAGAGTGTTATGTAACTAAAGCCCAGCAGTGAGGAGCTGAACTTTACCCTCCTCTGCTATCACTGCAGACTGGCAGGGTCGCCTACAGAGCAGCGCTGGTAGCTGTTAATGAAGTGATGCTCTTTTTAATTGAGGGTCCCGTTTCAGAGGGAAGATTTCAACCACTACCCCTTGTCACTCAGTTCCAAGGGGTTTGGGTGACACTAGAAAGAAAGGGGTAGGGGTAAAAGGAAGAAATGGGTTTGGGCCTAAGTTGTAAGGTCAAGCCCTGATAGTGGCCTTGGCCTGCTTGGCCTGCAGATATTGAAAAAAAAATGTTACTTTTGGGTTTGGAGACATTGGTGGGAATTTTCTCAGAAGATAATGGTGGCAAATCAGAAAAGAGATGACATAACTGGGAGGGCCAAGGGGGAGCCAGGTGTAAGCCCCCCATTGCCCAGAACAAGTATAAAAGTGTGAGTTTTTGCGAGGTGGTCAGTTGCGGCCCCGGGCAACTCAGGTTAACACTTCCATTTGTGAGGCCTTAACCCTTTAACATCCTCTCCAAGGAAAAAGCAAAAAAAGCAATGGATTTTTTATTTTTTTGTATTTTTTATTTGTTTGGGGCAAAAATAAAAAAAATTGTTGTTGTTTTGGGTTTTTTTTTTTTTTGACCCCACATTTTTAAAAATATTCATGTCTACGAAACGGTCGAGATGGCACTTTGTGGCATATATAGTGACTCAAAATGTGTGCTAGCAAATGGTTGAGCAGAACATTAAAGGTTATATAAGACTGTACCTTTCTCTGCCATATTTGGTGTTTAACTCTTTTCTATTTGGTATTAGCTGAAGCTTATTTTTGAATTAGAAGCGTGCTGTTTTAGCCACGTCAATGGTTATGAATACCCTGCCCTGCCTGTTTCATGGTAATTTTGAGATAAAGTTTGGGCTTAAATGTATTTTAATCCATTCATGGTGGAGAGATACACACGGGGCTCTGTGTGGCAAACAGTCCCCAAAGAAAACTTATCCCTGCTGAACAAACCTATAGACACCATTAAGCATTTCTGTTGGTTCCTGGTGGTTTTGTAATGTGTTTTAATGGGCTGATATCACAGTGTAAAGGATCCCAGTGCTTTAAAGTGTGTCCAATGGCTGATTCTATATGCATTTGATGGGTTCTTAATGGGATCTAAAGGTTCTACAGGAAGCTAGTGGTCTCTATTGGAAACCAAAACGAAGTTCTTATTCACACAAACTCACAAATACATTTTCTAAGCGTTTATTATAATTTATTATATATTAATATATATTTCTTATTTTTTAGTTTATTTTGTTATCATTATTTAATATTATTTATAAGTATTAATTCATAAGTATAAGTATTTATTCATGTCATTTTCAGTATTCGTTCAGCTTTTGAGTGATTTTTAGTCCGTTATGTGGGGGAATGAGCAGCAGGGGGCGCACCTCCCCTCCCCGTGGCAGGCTATTGATCAGGCACTGCTGTTTACAAAGCCGGCTGTACAGTCTCAGTACACAGTCTCTGTGTTTGAAAAGCTGTAACGAGTAAACACGGACAGTCTCCGGATTATGCAGCTGGATTCTGTCTGTGTGGGAGCTTAAAGAACGATTCTATACTTTCAATACGAAAAATAATCAATAGATGCATCTTTTCTCCACAGCGCAGTGATTTCCGTGCTGGATTCAACGGCTGCGATGAGTCATTCGCGAGTCGGCTCTTCGAACGATGGGAGCCGACTCGCACAGAAGATTCGTTTTTTTAAAAAATGAACACAAATCAAATGTGCAGATCGCAGATCTTATAACGCTGTTATAACCAAATCTGCTGCTTCCCTGCTGAATAAAATCATACAAACCATTAGAGGCGCGTGGTGGTCTCTGCTGGTGTCCAGGAGTCAGTAATGGCATGCTAGTGTTTTCCTGATGGGTTGATATCGCAGCGTAAAGGACTCTTAAAGGATCACAAGATAAGCAGAAGGACAAACCCATCAAACAGTCATCAGAAAAACGTTTTATTGAAACTAAAATGATAGATAAAATCGCTAACTTGGGGGAAAAAACACAAAAAAACGATGTTTCTAAATGAAGATCCGTTCGGGAGCCGAAAGAATCGAACCGATTCACTGAGAAGAGCCGCAGAGCTGAATCAAACACCAGAGCTGTTCTGTGATTGGTTGGCACTTGCCAGCCCTTCTCTGATTGGTTGAGCCTCTTCCCAATTGTGACATCAAACGCTGGCGTGAAACCTTAAGAATACCTGGTTGTATTGAACCGAAATAATCTGTATCTTTTGTTATTATTATTATTATTATTATTATATGGTTTTATCTCGTCCTATTATAACACTTTATAATCTATATAGTTATTTTGACCTCAAAATCGGAGACCACATTCCCCACAATATATTGTGAGGAAGAAGACAGCTAGTGTGCATGACGTAATCGCACGCCGCGTGCGAAATCCGCTCTATGACGTCATCGGACTGACGTCACAAGACACTATAAATGACGGGTCCGCGGTCAAAGCAGTCTCATTTGAACGAGAGCTGCTGCGCATGTCGGCCGTGACTCGAGAGAGAGCAGAGGAAGAACAGGAGAGAGAACGTTTTCAGATGGAAAAAGAAGGTGTGGACAGAACCCAAGAGGAGAGCCCCGAGGATCAGCATGCGGGGGGGAGAGAAACAGATGTGGAACAGCTACTCACCAACAGAACCACAGTCCAGGCTGAGAAGGGTCCGGAGGACGGCAACGGTGGGCTAAACAAGCGCAACAAACTGATAGCAGTTTTTTCACAAAGGCTAATGGAAGTCATTGAAAGGAATTACAAACACAGTGAGGATGGACTGGAAGAGTTCTTGGAATGCCTGCTACAAGTGGCTGAGAAAGAGGCGAACACAGCAGAAGCTCCCAGCACCCAAATGGATCCGAAGGTCGAACAGGGTCGAGAACCAGACAGTAAGGATGAAGGAGTGAAAGAGGAGAAGGAGAAGGGTGAAATTGGAAAAAAGGAAGTGGATGGAGTCATGGACACCTGCATGAAGAGTGAAGATGCAAGTCATGAGCAATCCACGGGGAACCTCCGGCAGGAGAGCGAAGATCTCCAGGAGGAGGCACGGAGCCTCGCCACCAAGCTCTACAACCTCACCGGCTTCAGACGCTCGGAGGTGGTCCAGCACCTCAGCCAGAACACTGACTTCGGGAAGATGGTTGCAAGGGAGTACCTTGCGTTCTTCAACCTCACTGGAATGCGTTTGGACGAGGCGCTCCGAACGTTCATCAAAGCATGTAGGCTAGCGGGTGGAACCAGCAAGCAGGAGCGCATCTTAGCTCACTTCGCTGACCGGTACCACCAATGCAACCCAACATCTTTAGCCTCGAAAGATGTGGTTCATTGCCTTTCCTGTGCCATGATGCTGCTCAACGTTGACCTCCATCGTTGCTTCCCCTCAGTGAAAATGTCCTGCCAGGATTTCCTGAACAACCTGCGAGGGGTAGGTGGTGGTCTTGAGTTCCCTGAAGAGTTGTGCAGGCAGCTGTATTTTTCAATCAAGGCGAAGAAGCTGGCATGGGACAAAGATGATGATCAGAGCAAAAAAACAAAAGAGCAGCTCCAGGATTTAATTGAGATGGCCAAGGATCCTACCACTGCTGTCCACAAAACTGGCTATTTGATCTGCAAAAGGATCATGGACAAGAACGCTGAGCAAACCAGAAAGGGGAGGAGGGCCTGGAAGCCTTTTCATGCCATTCTGAAAGGTATGGTCCTGTTCCTTCAAAAGGAGGAGTATGACCCTAACAAAGGCTTGTCCATGGCGGATTTGAAGAACGCCATTAGCTTGCACCATGCAATGTCTTGGCGGGTGGCGGACTACAAAAAGAGGCCCAACGTGCTGTGCATCAGGACGGCAGACCAGAGGTACTTCTTCTTCCAGGCTGAGAGTAAAGAAGAGCTGATATCCTGGGTCACCACCGTTGACCGCATCGCAGCCTGCAACTCTGCCCCTGTGCTGTCTGCTGTCTGCAACACAGGTGGACGGCACCCTCAGGTGCTGCCTTCCTTTACCACTTATTTGTCCCCAGAACAGCAGCTGAAGTCCCATGAGGCCCAGCTCCAGAAACTGTTGGCACATCTGGAGTACCACAGGTCTTTGCCTCCAATGAGCTATTATTGGAACGCAGACTTTCTACAGAAGGAGCTGATCCGCTACACCAAGTACGTGGATGTCTTGAAGAAGCTTTGTGTGCTGTAAAATGCTGGGTGCAGCTCCACAGTCTAATGGAGGAACAACAGGAACTGTGAGCGTGCCCCTTCACTATCCTCTGAACCACCTATAAATGCTGGGTGCAGCTCCACAGTCTAATGGAGGAACAACAGGAACTGTGACCACGCCCCTTCACAGTCCTCTGAACCAGCTGTGCAATGCTGGGTGCAGCTCCACAGTCTAATGGAGAAACAACAGGAACTGTGAGTGCACCCCTTCACTGTCCTCTGAACCAGCTGTGCAATCCTAGGTGCAGCTCCACAGTCTAATGGAGGAACAACAGGAACTGTAAGCACGCCCCTTCACTGTCCTCTGAACCAGCTGTGCAATGCTGGGTGCAGCTCCACAGTCTAATGGATAAACAACAGGAACTGTGAGTGCGCCCCTTCACTGTCCTCTGAACCAGCTGTGCAATACTGGGTGCAGCTCCACAGTCTAATGGAGGAACAACAGGAGCTGTGAGCGCGTCCCTTCACTGTCCTGTCAAAGAAAAGCAAAAAGCAATAAAAATGTTAACAATAACTTAAGATTATTCAAATTGATTAACCATTTTTATATTTTTGTATAGGTACACAGCTGATTGTTGCCCTTAAACAGCTTTAAAATTCAGTCCTGACTTGCTTTGCTTTACTTCACTTTTCTGCTCTTCATCGAGGGTGAATAGGTTTTAACCGTGAGTGTCAAAAACAAACAAGAAAACGAACAAACCATTACTGCACCAAGAGAAATGTACACAATATTCTGAGTATTGTATCTTACAAAGGTCAGCAGTAGCCTCATCCTAAAGTCTAGGCCTAAATGTGGTTGCCACCAATCTGATTTTCACTCAGAAAGTCTAGTTTCTAATGTACGATTAAAGGCTTATTTTACTTAGTCTCCTATTTTGTTGGTAAGCTAGCACGGTGTTTACAATGAAGCTGCCCTGTCCTGCTACAAAACAAGCAGCATATAAGGGCTGTTGGTGGCTGCCGTAAAGGCCTCTAGGTGTCGCTCTTGTGATCCAAATTCAAATGTAACTAAAATGCATTATAATGAAAATATAATGGTAACCGTTGACCAAGTTTTCCATGACAAGTTGTTCAATAAGATGCCTTAATAAGATATTTAGTATGCATGAAGCTCAGTATGAGATACTGATACGACTACTAACATGTATAACTACACTGGTTTTTCAAAAATTCTACATAATCAAATGTAAACAGAGTCGTTCAGGGTGGTTTGGTGTGAAACGTTCTGTTCCAGAGAAACTTACCGAGTCAGAGCTGTTCACAGTGGTGGTGACAGGAACCAGACGTCCACCTCTAAAAGCTCCCTCACAGAAAGTTACTACATGAAATGGTTATGAATTCACTGCCTGATGACTGAGACACTGTTTAATGATAGTTTTGTGATAAAGTTTGATAAATCCATTCATGTTAAAGAAGTACACCCAGTGTATTGTACAGTCATTTTTTTTCAGATTTTCCACTATTTTCCCATCATCAACATTCCATATAAACACTCAGAAGACTCGTGTAGGTTCACTGGTGGTCCTGGATAGTAAATAAAATGTCTATATTTGTGTTGTAGTCATGGCGACCCCTGGTTCCCATCACCACCACTGGAAAGACATCTGAACCATTTCACACCAAACCACTCTGAACGACTCCCACTGAACCACTGAATTATTCTGATATATTGAAAAACGGCTGGGATTCCCCTTTAATATCCCAAATAGCAGACAGTTAAGCCAATTATGGCTTTCCTATGTGAGTGTTGGTTGACTACTGGGTAAATGCTTGGCATGCGGGCCAGAATATGGCCAGATCCTGAACATCTTTATATGGTTTTGCCTCATGGCTACATTCATAGGACAGTTCTGGATGTACGAATGTAGACACAAGGCAAAACTGTATGAAGCTGTCCAGGATCTACCCCTATTCTGGCCCGCATGTAGTTGGACCAGATTAGAGCCAAATTCAGGCCAACTCCTGTAGTTCTACTCACTTTACAGTGTGTGGGCCAGATCTGGGTCGAGGACCCAACCATATATTGGGCCAGAACAAACCAAGGATGAGGCCCACCAGTGTGCAGGCAAATTTTGCTAACTGGGCTACCTGAATCTCCTTCTTCTTCCCTCCATAATGGTTGGGATCCTGGGAAGAGTGGGAATGTGAGAGAGGAAAAACATTTCAGACAAAAAGAAAAGTCCATATTCCAGCAAAGAAAGACATGAAAATAAGATGAAGGAGTCAAGAGCAGTTTAGGGACACAGATTATAGCTTAATTCTTTTTGAAGAAAGACAAAGCAAAAATGGTAAAAACATTAGCCAGCTCATCTGCAGTGGCGGACGAAGTACACAAATCATGTACTTGAGTTAAAGTAGAGATACACAGGTAAAATATTACTCCGGTAAAAGTAGAAGTTCCTCCCTTTAGACCTCCACTTGAGTAAAAGTACAAAAGTATTTGCCTTCAAATGTACTTAAGTATCAAAAGTGAAAGTGCTGAAAGTTTAATTATGGCTCTAATGTCCTATCAGCATTCCTGTAACAAAACTCTCACTTTATCAACTCATTTTAGGTGAAAATACTCCAGTGTCTCTCTTGGTAAACCAGTCTTTTAATAGAATGTCATTAATTAGTGACACTGATGTCTATTAAAATTATCATAAGCACAAAACACTGGGCAAAAGTAGAACCGAGTGGCTCTGAAGTAACTTTTTACAAACAAGCAAAGTTTCAGTTAAAGATTTATTTGCAACTTAGTTACAAGTTTAAGTTTAATAAAAACTTTAAACTCAGATTCACAAATGAGTTTCCTTTACTAAACTGTGTCTGTAGGTCTCTGTTCATAAACATAAACTAGCCAACACAAACTTACTATAAAATGAAATAATGTTTGTATAAATTCAGAAAAAAGACACTCTGCGCTGTCTAGTGCGTCTGTGTTGAAGAACAGTTCTCCACACTGAATTTAATTCATTAGGAAAGCAGAATGGGGGAATTTTGGTTAGCTAGCAACCACTCAGCTTAACTTTAGCTTCTGGCTAAATCTCAGATGGCGCCCTGCTCCCCCTATAGTGAGCTGCATATGTCATTGGAATGATGGCTTTAGCATTAAAATAGTGCATCAAATGCCCATGGGATGCAGCCTTAGGCTGCATATCTCAGTATTTGATTGTAAAGGTCATACTTTTGTGACTAGTGCACTATATAAGGCAGGGGTCAGGGCCAGAGTCCAGCACAGTTTGGTGATTTCCCTTCTCTAGCACAATAGCTAGACCTGGTAACGAAAGCTTGAGTTCAGTCAGGTGAACTTGATTGAAAAAGTGACCACACTGTACAGGAAGTACAGTACAGAAACTGTCCAGAGTTCCCCACAGGGAGAAGGGAAAGCCTCCGAGGACGTTAGCCCGTCCATGTCCACTTTACAGTCAATTGTAGCTCTTCATTAAGCGTTTTCAGCCAGCTTTGGGTCAGTGTCAGGTCCTTGGAGTGAATCTGAAAAGGTTCTCAATGTCATACAACGTGAAACAGCACAACTGTTACATAACACAAGATAAATATATTCTATCACTTTTTACTGTCATTTTGAAAAACCTTGTGTCATTTCGTGTTGCAGTATTAGGCCAAAACTGGATAATTTCACATGTGGGACTATTGATATTGTTGACCACAAGATTCTAATCCACCATCTTAAATCCTGGGCCGCCTCTCTGGTACAGTTTTAGAATAGTTTAAGTTATATTTAGTTATTAAACAGTTCATGGTTTCACTGGGAAATCATTCTTCAAAAAAATGTAGCAGTAGTTTGTGGAGTCCCACAAGGTTCAGTTTTAGGGCCTTTGCTTTTTTTTTCTTTGTTACCTCTAGGTGTCATTAGGAAACATAATATCAATTTTCATGGCTATGCTGAAGACACACATTTATACATTTACATTCCTCCTGATAATCAAGACTCTATTGACAGGCTGACCAGCTGTGCGATATACAGATCTTTGGTACTGAAACTCAGAGAAAGCTGCTTTACGAGAAGCTTCGTTCTTTAGTTTCTTATACCAGACCTGAAGTATAAAACCTGGGTACGATCCTAGACTCTAATCTCTGTTTCTTCTGCTTAATTAAAACTCCACACCTCATAGTATTTATCTTTTTAATTTGATCTCTTATTTTCTAACATGATATAAAATTAATATTTATAAGTTTTTTCTATCACTGTTAAGCTTTATCACCTGTCTGTAAGGCACTTTGAGCTTGCATGAAAAGTACATAATAAGAACACAGATGTAACAACAGGTACATTTTGCACTTTGGCCGGGGTATCCCCTTAGCTAATATCGGAGATTCTGTGCATTATCTGGGTTAGGCAATGTTTACTCGTCTTACGCAATGTTCTATTAGGTACTCTGCTTGTTTTTACTACTAGCCCTGTCATGGTTGGTTTAAATCCAGGCCCTTGACTTCAGCTGCTACGCACACATCACCCCTGGAGCTTTGCCAAGCTAATTAAGGAGCTGGCCAGGTTCCTTGTTGGTTACCTATCCAATTAAGAGCCAAAGGGTTGCCAAGTGTCCTTCCGAAAGCTGATCAAAACGAGCCAAAAGCCAGCGCAGTAACACATTACCAAACTCACTTGGCTATAACATGTTATGTAACGTACTTGTTTGACTTTTCTATTACAATTCGACTATAATTACTGCTGCGTAGGACTATTTTATCCTGTTTTCCCATAAAGCAGTTAAACCTCCAGGTTAATCTGGAAGAGCCCTCAAGCAGGAACGGATCATGAGCGGAATGGTCTTTGTGATGGTCAGGAATTTCTGTTGGTGCAGGTGTCAACATAACATTAAATCCAATAAAACAAATATAGAAAAGATCCACATTGTTTGTGCACTGAGTACGTTTGGTAGTTGGTGAACAACTATAACGACTATAATGAGTAAAGTTTTGTGTAAGACTCGAATCAAAATTTCTCTTTTTCTTTCAAGCCAAACTGAGTCGTAACCCATAAATCTATAACTGAAAACGAGCCTTTATCTCCACACACATTATCTAAGCCACTTATTCGTCTGTGTTGCAGGGGGTGCTGGAGCTTATCCCGGCAGTCATTGGGCGGAAGGCAGGAAACACCCTGGACAGGACACCAGTCCATTACATACATATTCACACATACACACTCACACCCAGGGGCAATTCAGTGTGTCCAACTGGCTTGACCGCATGTCTTCGGACCGTGGAGGAAAGCCCACACAGACACGGGGAGAACATGAAACACACAGAAAGGACCCTGGTTACCCGGCCGGGGAATCGAACCCAGACCCTTCTTGCTGTGAGGTGACAGCGCTACCCTGGACCTTCATTGACTGGCCTTAAAGGGGAATTCCACCAATTTTTCGTTCAGAGTGGTTTGGTGTGAAATGTTTTGTTCTAGAGTAAATTACAGAGTCAGAATTGTTCACAGTGGTGGTGATAGGGAGAGTTTAATTCCTCTAAAAGCTTTCTGACAGCACATTTCTGCGTGCAGTAGTTACAAATATGTTGCCTGATTGCCTGAAACACTGTCTTATGATAGTTTTGAGAAGGTTTTGGCCTAAATATACATCTTTTTTCATCTATTCATGGTGGTTTATGATTATTTTACCATCAATATTCCATATAAACACTCAGAAGACTCGTGTTGGTTCACTGGTGGTTCTGGATAGTAAATAAAATGTCCGTATTTGTGTTGTAGTCATGGCGACCCCTGGTTCCTATCACCACCACTGTAAAGACATCTGAACCATTTCACACCAAACCCACTCTGAATGACTCTGTTTACATCTCAATGATTGAATTACACAAGCATATTGGAGAGCTACAATGGACTTCAGCGCACACGCTGTCCAGCTAGCTAAGAATAGGACTGAGGGCTGCCCATGCTGACTGTCACAAGTGACTGAGGCAAATTTGGACGGCAGGAGCCACGTGGGGAACAGTTGGTCAAGCCCTGTAAGGGGGTACTTCCCGTCAGCTGACTGGTACGTGGGATTTGGCAGCGAGAGCTCTCCAAGTGGAAACGCACGTACACACGAGTAACTAGGGCACTTTCACTACAGCCCCCCACCGCACCCCCCCCCCTAGGCACACTGTTTTGGGCACACTGTGTGACTAAGGCTGGAACCATGAGCATGAGATAACCTCACGTAGTCACATGATGCATGTACTATTCAGAATATGGCTTATTTGCAGTACTGCATTTGTACCTTCGCCACACGGTGTGGTGGTTATTTTTGCCAACACGTTGACTGTAGTTGACTGTAATCCCCATTAAATGTTAATGGAGGGGAAAAGGTGTTCTTGTTTTTGCATGCAGAAAGTAAATATGAACCCAAGGACGGATCGTGGTCACACATGGGTCTTCGGAGCCCCCCTTTTAATATAACATTCTAACTCCTCAAAATGCAGGCTTATTACATACTAAGACTTATTATTATTTAGTAACTACAGGCACCTCAATGCTAATTGGTTGAGCTATTCTTAGGCTATAGAAGTGTGTAATAAAACTTTAGGCCTGCTGGTGGGCCACGGCCTTTTAGAGGGTTAATAAACAGCTTGTTTATGTGCACTTCCAACAGACAAACAAACAAATCAAATACACAAAATGTTTTCATTCTCAATTGTATGCAAATGTAGTGGCCTTTATCTGATTAAATTTGATTATATTTCTTTTATAATACACAACACATGTACACACATGCAATGCTGTGTACGTATTTATTTGGAGAGGGATGAGGGTCTTGCTGCTTATAGGACGTCATAATTAATGAAACATCCTAAGCAAGGCCCATTTAGAGCTTTAAAAACCAGCAGCAGAGCTTTAAACTCTCTCTAAAAGATCCAGGCGGTCAGTGCAGTGTGTAGACGGGGTTAGGTTAGATTGCCTGAGAGGCCTGCCCAGTAACCACGACGGTGGATTAGAATCTTGTGATCAACGGTATCAAGATCTAAGACCAGAATAGAAGGATTTTGTGCATCAGCGCGCTAAACCTGAGGTCATTCACAACACGAACGAGTGCTGTGTGAGTACTAGAGTTAGAGCAGACACCTCTCATAGAACTCGTTCGACATTAGATACGCATTTAATCATTTAAGAACAACTTTTTCTTTTATTTCCTTCAAAAAGGAAGGACAGAAATTGGTAAGATGAGTGAGTACGGAAGGATCCATGCTACTCTTTTTTAGCAGAGGCTTCACCAAAGCAGTATAGAGCAACTTTATTTGCAGTCTATTCAGTCCAGTCTATTCATGTGAGTTCAATGTGTGGCAACTGCTTGAACTGCTTCCCAGAGCACGTTTTGGCACTTGCCATTCATTCATTCATTCATTCATTCATCCATTCATCCATTCATTCATTCATTCATCCACTCAAACACACTCTCAGCCTGCGCTGTTTCCATTGCGGTGGTCTTATGGAAAGTAGATCCGCTGAACTAGTGAGATCTGTGAAGCTGTAACAGGATACACCTAGTGTTGCTATGATGTGGGGAAACACGTGGTTGTGGATCCTCATGGAAGGAACGTCACAGCAGGGGGGCGGGCCTTCGGCTGTGATTGGCTAGTAGTTTCTATGGGCAGTCAGTGCGAGCTGGGATTGGCTGGTAGTATTGCCTCTCCCAGGGTTTGATTGGCCGTAGTATTGCCTCTCCTGCGATGTGATTGGCCGTAGTATTGGGACTCCTAGGCGCTGATTGTCCAGTAGGATCGCGCCTCCTGCGATATGATTGGCTAGAATCTCGTAAAGGATCACGTCGCTGTTTAAAAGCGTGCAGAGCGCGGGACTCTACCGGCCAGTTCCAGCTCAGGGGGGCGGAGTCAGGAGGAAAACGGGTGGGAAATAAAATGAATAAGATGTACCGGAGGGGCGTCACGTTGGGCGCGTGTGATTGTTTTCCGAATGAAAGCGCACGTAGCCGCCGGTGAACAAGCTCAGCGTCCGGCGCCGGTCAGCGGCAGAGCGCGCGGTGACCATCTCAGAATGGAGGTGAGTGAGAGAGAGAGAGAGAGAGAGAAAAATAACTTTCTGGAAGTTCTGATTTTTCATCATGATGTCTCTGAAGGTTCTTTAGTAAAGGCAATGGTTCTATTTAGAACCCTGTTGAAACCTTGCTGATGGTTTTGTGATGTTTTTGGCTTTTTTTTAATGTGTTGTTACCACAATGTAAGGGATCCTAATGGTTTAACAGGTGACCAGTGGCTGATTCTAAATGCTTTTGATAGGTTCTTAATGGGATGTAAAGGTGTTCTACTGGGAACCAATGGTCTCTGTTGGAACCCATTAAGCCAGTTCTCATTAGAAAGCAAAACAGGTTTTAATCCTAACTGTTTAAAATGGTCATAATGGGGTATAGAACCATTTTGTGCTTAAATGGTTCTTTGCTCGGTGCAGTGGTTCTTAAGAATGTGTCATATACGGTTCTGTATGGAACCTTTTTGAAAATGGTTCTATATAGCACCAAAAAGGGTTACCAGCCTGGCATCGTAACAATAGCAGAACCCTTTGGTGCTGTGCACAGACCTGTTTCCAAAAAGGTTCTAGATAGCACTATATACAGCACATTCTCCATCAGCCTGAAGAACCATTTCAACCATTTAAGCATGAATTGGTTCTCTATTTAACTCTATGGTTCTATATGGAACCATTCCCTTTATGAAAGAACACTTGAAGAGTCGTCTTTTTTGAGTGTGTATATGAATTTATTTTAGACAAGAATACTTTTTTGCTTGGTACATTATAAAGGGGAATTCCACCCATTTTTTAAAAATTTGCGCAATATCAGTGTTTGAGATGTAAACAGAGTGATTCGGAGTGGTTTGGTGTGAAATGGCTCAGATGTCTTTACATTGGTGGTGATAGGAACCAGGGGTAACCATGACTACAGCACAAATATGAGTCATCTGAGTGTTCATATGGAATGTTGATGATGGGAAAATAGTGAAAAATCTAAAATAATAAGTTTTCTTTGGGGACTATTTTGCCAACACTATACATGTACCTCTTTTGGAAAATACATTTCAGGCCAAAATCTAATCTCAAATTACCTTCTAATCCTATGTAGTAACTTTCTGGGAGGGAGCTTTTAGAGGTGGACGTCTGGTTCCTATCACCACCACTGTGAACAGCTCTGATTCTTAAGTTCCTCTAGAATGGAGCATTTCACACCAAACCACTCTAAACGATTCTGATAACATCTCAACCACTGAATTATGCATACATTGTGAACATATTAACTATCATTAAGTTCATTATGTAGTTTTTTTGTGTAATATTCAGGGTATATATTGGGTACAAGAGGCTATATAAACTGTGAGAATCTCTTTTATTTGTTTATGTCTCTAGATTAACCTGAAGGTTTCTTCATTTTTGTTGGTGGGGACGTATTCTAGCTACTATACTACACATTCTGTATGTGCCATATCAATGTATATTACAACTAATGGTTCTACTTTGTTCTATTACAACACACTGTTTAGCATGGTACTATGTTATTTTGCCCACTGTCTACTTTCACTCTGTCATTCTTCCCCCCTGTAGCCACCAAGTGAGTCTGTAACCAACTTTAGCCATGGCTTTACTCTGCTGAGGGAGCTGAACCTGCAGAGAAGAATGGGTCAGTTCTGTGACTGTGTCCTTCAGCTCCGCATCCACCCCGGAAGGCTCTTCCTGGCCCATAAAAGCGTGCTGGCCGCGTTCAGCCCCGTGCTCGCGTCTCTTCTCCCGCGCCACGGTGCCCTCGTGGACTTAAACTTTCCCTGCCTCACTCCTGAAACGCTGGACATCCTCCTAAACTACATTTACACAGGTGCACTGCCCCCACGCAGCCAAGAGGAGGCTGTACTCTCCGCTGCCTTCCATCTGCAGATGGAACAGCTCCAGCAGGTGCTTAGGTGGAGGAGGAAGGCCTTGCCTGAGATGACGCACACAGGTGAATAACTTTGCTTTAGGGCCAGAGTACTTTGCATTTTAGGTATGATTAGGTGCACCCAGCCTCAGGTCTCTATGCCCAATGCCAAGCATGGGCTAGAGGGGTATAAAGCCCCCCAGCATTGGTCTGGAACAGTGGAACTGCGTTCTCTGGAGTGATGGAGCTCCATCCAATACCTTTGGGATGAGTTGGAGATCCAGAACTGACCATCCAACATCAGTACCTGACCACACTAATGCTCAATCAAATCCTCACAGCAATGTTCAACATCTAGAAGCCTTTCCAGAAGAGTAGAGGCTGTTACTGCAGCACAAACGCACTATTAACACCCTTCATTTCAGAAGAAACGCTGGAAGAGCAGGCGTCTACAGACTTTCAGAGCTGTAGTGTAGGTGGGTTTGGTGGGGGGGGGGTGTTGGGGGCTTGTCACAAAAAACAAATAGCAAACCAAAAGAAATTCAGTTTAAATTGTTAAAATCTTATTTATCCATTAAACTGTTTAACTAATTGACTAAACTATGTGACGCCATAAGGTTTCATCCAAGGGACATGGCCTCCTCTACACTCTTAAAAAGATGGTTCTTCAAGGGTTCTTTAGTAAAGAAAATGGTTCTACAAAGAACCATGAACACTCAAAGAACTCCTTGCATGACTCAAGGGTTCTTTAGATTGATAGAGAATGCTTTTTGAAAGTTCTATATAGCACCCAGAAATGGTTGTTCTATTGTAACAAGCTTGACATTGACCCCTTTTTGGGTGCTATATAGAACCATTTTTCAAAAGGGTTCTACACAGAACCCTTTCATGATGCAAAGAACGCTTTAATCACGCAAAGGGTTCTTTGAGTCTTCATGGTTCTATATAGAAATAACAAACTTAGGGAGATATTGGAAAATGAGGCACACAGTTTTTGATAGTATTTTTAAAATGTAGCCCTACTGGCTCTTTTTATCTGTTATAGCTGATCAGATGTCTAAAAAATTAATATCGTGATATATCGAGTACCGTGAAAATGGCCCACCGTGAAGAAAACGGAGTTCTAGATGAACGTCTACCGCACACTGAAGCCTGTTTAGAACCAGAGAAATCCAAGACATCAAGGCTTGTTTCTTCGCAGTGTGTTCCCGATTGATTTACAAGGTTAATTACCTAATTAAGCCAACTGCAGTCTTAGGTAAAGTCTTAATTAATTGAAATTAATTACATTTGTACAGGCTGCTTAGGTAGAAGAGCCTAAAACCACAAAGTGATGTCACGTCAATGACAAGTAGCTGCCAAAAAAAAACAAATGGTTCAGGAGTGAAAAAGTCTCAGGTCAGAAGAGTATTTAGTTTCCTACAGAGCTGCAGCAGAGCGGCTCCAGTTGGGTCAGACGAGAGGGCATTTATAGTGTCAGATCTCTAACGGTTGGCCAGGCAGCCTTCTAAGCTCTGAGTGTTGCGACTTAGCGAGATAAAGCAAATAAGATTATAATAGTAGACCAAATAGCCCTTGAAGAAAAAGTGCAGTTTGTTTGTCAGCCGAAAATATATTAGTCATCAAACTAGTCAATCAAAATGGACTCATTTATGTACACAAGCTTGTGGAAATACATTTATGTTATTGGGAAATTTTCCATAGCACAAAGGAAAACACTAGATTTATGACTGCAATGTGGACACCGTAAAATATTTACAGTTGTAAAAGAACTTCTGGCCATCATAGCAGTGGTCACTATGTTGCCTTCTTCAAATTAACGTTTAGTTTAATAGAACAGAAAGGAAAGAAAGCATTAAGCAAGTCATTGATTCTGGATGATGCAACAGGATTTATAAGCAGGCCGATTCTAGAATGACGAACGTTCACGTGGAGTTTACTAGGATTTTTTGACGTTACGTTGCCCCAAAGCTTTGAGTGACAGCTAATGATGGATTAGACCATGACCTGAAAATCTGGGTGCAGACATGAAGAGCAGCTTGCTTGGAGTGCGTCAGCGTCAGGAAACGCCTCCAGAAAACAAACCTACTTTTTCCATGCTCAAAAGATTTTTTCAAGAAACAGCAATTATTTTGTATTTTTTAGCGATTATTATGTACGAACAGATGTTAGATGAGATACAGGCGCTCTGAGGAATATTTTCTTGTTTTTGTCATATTGAATAGTCATGTTTAGTCTCTAAACATCAACATTAGGAATTAAATCAGCTTTTTTCAGTTCACTTTTTGCCTTCCAGTCAGTTATTATTATTAAGGTTATTATTTAGGAAGTTAAGAAAGTTTAGGTTGCTGCTAGCAGGTCTGATATTAACACACCATGCCCATATGTGTGACTTCCGTACTGATCTTTGAGGGACCTCAGTGATTGAAACACAATCAGTTACAATGCAGTCGTCAGAGGCTTTAGTGCTGTGTGTGATTCCAAACATTTGCAAGGATTGACACAAACCGTCAGCCTTGTGGTTGATAAAGCCTCATTTGCTTATCTGTCCTTTTGGACAGGATCAGACAGCGAGAGCCTCTTTCCTGACAAATCTTTAAAAGCTGCTCCCGTGCAGCCGACTAAGCCCTGAGAGAAGTGAGGGAGTGAGAAGACGACAGACTGAAAATCCTTTAAAAGACAACAGATAATTAAGGACTTAATAACTAACGAAAGTTATATTATACATAGTGCTCCTGGACCTGCCAGCCTACTTAGATATTCTGTTAAAAACAGGTAAACTCTTAAAAAAGATGGTTCATCAAGGGTTCTTTAGAAAAGAAAATGGTTCTATATAGAACCATACACACTCAAAGAACCTTTTGCATGACTAAAGAGTTGGAGAATGTCCTGTGGATGGTTCTATATAGAATCTTTCTGAACAGGGTTCATCCTCACAATAGCAGAACCCATTTTGGTGCTATACAGGCCACTTTTCAACAAGTTTCTATATAGAAGCATATACAACACATTCTCCATCAATCTGAAGGATGTTTCCACCATGGATGTTTAACCATACAAAAGGTTCTTTGAATGCTAATGGTTCTATATAGAACTAAGGAACCCTTGAAGAACCATCTTTTTTAAGTGTGTACCAATGGGTTTGGTCTTATACTGGGGATCAGAATGAAAGTATAGATGACGGCTATTTGAAAAATACATTCAGAATGAACAGATAAAGTTTGAGGGTTGCACGATAATATCGGAATCATATCAGTACCAAGATAATTGCTTAAAAATGTAATATATTTTATATATATATATATATATATATATATATATATACATATATATATATATATATATATATATATATTTCTCTAATCTTTTCTATTTGTGACACTTCTTTAATCAAGCTATTTGAAAGTTTCTGCCCTTGATCTACTTGTAAAGTGTCCAGCTTTCAGTTCTGAAGCCTGAACAGCGTAATGGAATTTCTAAGCAGCCAAGTTGCCATGACTAGAATGAAGGACATGGTGTCAGTGGGGAGTATTTAGCCTGTTCTCAGTGACGGGTAATGATGGATTAGACCATGCCCTGAAAATCTGGGTGAAGGCAGGAAGAACGGCTTTCCTGGAGCGCTGCAGCGGTCACTCCTGTTAAAAACAGAGCTCTGTAGGTTCTCTTTTTTGTTTCTGATATCTCGGTGGAGACACTCATAAACATGCAGCACATGCAAATGATACATTTCTTGTTTTAAGTGCTAGAGCTCAGATAACCACACTCTAGATCATCCTCAAGATGTTTGTGAATGGTTAGGAACTTGCTGTTGTCTCTGCATGACATGCTGCCAAATGTTAGTTTGTGAAGGTTTTGTTTGAATGAATTTTCTGTTTCTACACCCTGCATGTTCTAAGCTTGTCTACGTTCCTTCTACAGTTCAGGATAAACTCAACCAGAAGAGGACATTTGTAGAGAGACAGTCCCTAGATGGGACCCCTCTGGCCCCTCCGTCCTATTACCCATATGGCTCAGACCCACCTGAGTCGTCCTCTCCAAGCTGCGAGGTTGTCCCAGTCATATGCCATGTCAAGACGGCAGGGCACAACAAATTCCAACTACAAACCCACTGTCAAGATAGGAGCTCCACCTTCGAGCACACTGGAAATGTCTCAGATGCTGACAAACAGGCCCATCGTGGATGCCCTCAAACCGCTCATGGAGTAGATAACACCTCCTTGCTAGACCAGTTCTTTGAGCCGGCACAGTCGAAACAAGACAAGCTTCTGGTTGTCCTGTCGGAGAGTTCTCTGAATGAGCTGCCATGCGTTGTTGCTGAGAAGGTCGGCAGCCAGTTCAGTAACTCCAGTGACAGTAGAGAGTTTCAGTCCACTTTGCCTGAAAATGCCTCTCAGACTCCTGCAGTTCTACGTACCATCAGTAAAGATTTGCCCTCTGAAACTGAATGTAGTCAAACCAGCAGCCACAGCTGTCCCCAGTTCAGCAGATGTGACAGCAATGGGGATAGCAGATGTGTTTCCGAGATGGATGGTATCCAGTCCTTCAATCCTTTTGATTCAGGAAAAGGTGAACATCTTGCAGAAATTCTTTCAGACACCTTTAATGACAATTCGTACAGCACCAATGGCCACATTCTTAAGGACAGGCCTCATCTTTGTGGTCAGTCGGCCGCAGAGACCTGCCTCGAAAGTCAAACACCTTTATGTTTGCAAAATTCTAGCAGTACCGGCATGACACGTGAACGGAGAACTTCGGATTCTGATATATGGCCGCTGGGAATATTAACCGCTGAAAAGGTTGCCATCGGAGAGCAACCCCAAAAAACCAGTCACGCCGAAAGTGAAGAACTCTCCAAAATGAGGAAGGATTATGTGATTGCCTATCAAGGACAGCTGTATAACCAATGCCTGCTGGAGCGACGCCACTCTAAGGCAGACTCAAGTGACTCGGACAGTGACCGAGCATTCCCAGTGTCCAGTGTCGAGGACAAAGACAGCGCCACAGTTTTGGAGACGATAGATATCACAGAGATATCGCTCTCAGCCAGCCGGCCATCCAAATCTCCTGGGGAACGCTCGTTGACCCATCCGTTCCAATGCTCCATGTGCGAACGTGCCTTCAGCCAGCGTGGCTCTCTGAACAGACATATGCGCTCCCACCTGGGCGTACGACCCTACTCCTGTCCTCGGTGTTCCATGACATTTTCCAGGCAGTATAGGGTCACAGAGCACATGCGTGTGCATCAGAGGAGCTGTGAAGGCCCAACTGAGGGCCACCTGAGGACTGCAGCTGCAGGGGTGGATGTGTAAAAGAAAAGTTCAGGAGTTTTCTAAAACTACCCTACATTTACTTATCTAGTAAGGAGTGTTGGGATGTTCCTCATCTCGGTATCAAATGCCTTGAGTTCCTCAAGAATGTCTGGCATAACTTCAGATATGAATAAAGTGGATCCATTTGTGGCCTGGAGGAAGTCCTGACCATCCAGAGAGTCAAGGCCATCCCTTGAACAAGTCCCCGTGGTTAGCTTAGCAGCGTTAGCTTTAGCTAAAGTGGATAGTAAAAAGGACGAGTTTGAAGTCATCCATTTAGAAGTGGGCTGGACTAGACTGACTCAATGAAGGAGATGCAATGCATTTGCTCACAGTTACTGGTGTCCAAACAGGATGTACCTGCATGTTTATGTTTGAATCCCTTCTTTTTGACTGACAATATTTCCTTTAGGTTGACAGTACTGAGGCTTACTGGTCATTTACTTCATTATGCATGGACACTGGTCACTTCCTTAAAGTATTGACAGATTTAAGTAGCAATGAATATCTTTTTTGTTTGAGTAATATTACAATTGTGATTTAATTTCGATAAATTAAGCCGGAGACCTTTTTTTTTGTCAAGAACATCAGCACAACCATTTTAGGCTTGAGGCCCAAACGCTGATTGTAGTATGCCAGACTGTCAATTCACAAGCTCTGTGTTATTAATTTCCCCATCTAAAACTTGTTACAATGTTGGATAATGTAGGATATAAATAAAATTGCAGCTCATGATTAAAAAAATAGCACTTTTTCAAACTGCGATTTTGGTTTAAAAACAGCAAATCATTAAGCCATAGATTCAAATGCCAGTCATATGTATTTATTTGCTGAGTTGCATATTGGAAACAAATAAAACATAAAATATAAAAAAGGTCACGTTATGTTTTATTTTTTTCCCCCCAATATGTTAAATTCAGCAAACAAACAGTAATTGAGCATCTGTAGAGGATGTGTTCACTTGTTTACATTTAGGAAAACAACAGGTACCCGAACTTCTGCATATGATCATATTGTGCTTATATAAATTATATGTAACTTTATTTCAGTACTGATTGGTTGCAAATATGGTATAAAATGAGTTTTAATTCAGTTGGCAATTCATTCACATATGAACCCAACAGATTCTGTTGTGTAATAAGAGGTACGCTAATGCAATTCTGACATACATATTTGTAAATAAAAGTTTATTTATTTTTCACATTTAATTTTACATTTCAATTTTACAATGGCCTAGTTGGCCTAGTTGGCATTCTGTCAGCAGTGTTTGCATGGGAGAAATCTTCCACAGTAAAAGTACTGCTGTTAACGCAACGTAAACAGCGTGTGCTGGTCTAAAGATGGTGTTCCTAGTGGTTTAGCTATAGATACAGTATAGTACAGTAGGATTCTCATATTGAAAAACATTCAGCAACCATGATGGCCAGGCCAAGACGCTTTAGATAACATACCTGTGAATTTACTGTGTCTGCCTTGTGACATTAATGGGCATTAAAAGGATGCTGTGGTGGTATCGGATAAAAAAGCAAAGTGAAATGCTATGAATAGTTACAAATTACTGATTTTACTTTGTGATACTGGTATTGAGTGTATAAGTTTTGGGTTAACGCTGTTGTGTCACTCATTTGATCACTGAAATCGGTGAGTGAGGCGCATTTTAAACGGGGGTTATTTGTAAATGCATGCATGCACATAGACTGTATTATAATCTGACTTCAAGATATTGTTTGTCAGCATTCCTTTCAGGCACTGTTTTGTTTGATTACTGAATATAAAATTAAAAACTTTTCCAACAAGATACATTTCTATATGAGCTGCTGAGTTAGTACAGTGTTATACGGTGGCTATATACTTCATTTAATCGGTCCTGTTTGTTTGCACACTGAGTAGGAGAAAGACAACAAGATAATCCTATAATGTCTTCAGAAGTCCTCACTCTGCTGAAGGTAGGTTACGCATTACTACAACCGCCTGTGGAGAGAGAGAGAGAGGGAGAGAGAGAGAGAGTCATTTAAAGCAGTCACATAAAATACCAGTAACACTTTAAGAGCCCACTGTAGATGTTTTTGTAGATGCTTAGCTTGTCTTTAAATCTGAGTGAGGTCCATATTGCAGAAAAGTGACCTACTGAATAAACCACATTGTGACCCCAAGCTAATTTTCCAATCTCCTTTACGTTTTTCACCTCTTCATTACTTCTTTTTCTTACCCACAGGCTTATATCTATTTTATTTGTTCATTTTCCTCCATTCTTGCATAGACTACTAACACTACTCCTGCTTTGACTCTAGACTGTTTGATTTTATTTAGTTAATTAAGTTGAAAGCTGCACTATGTAAGATTTGGGGATTTGGAGACCTCTATGGTGGAAATGTGTTATTGCAAGCAACGTGCAGAAAAACATATTGAAATGTGGGTTGTGTTTCCATGCTCTTCCCAGCAGGTTCACAACACACAGCGTCTGAAAACTGACGACGATTAGAATTCATTAAAAGAACACCCTCCAGTAAATGAACCTGTTGAGTTTGTCGCCAAGAAAAGCAGTCGATTAAGCAGCATTTCCTAATCCTGCTCCTGTGACCCACTGCACTGCATGGTTCCTTGACGCAACACACCTGATCCGGATCATCAGCTGATTACGGAGCCCGTCATGGATCAGGTGTGGTGAGTCAAACCGTGCAGCAGTGTGGGTCAGTATCTAGGGTGCAGTTGAGAACCTGAGGGGGAGAATCATAGCCAGCAAACTACTTAGAGATCAGTTTTTGAAAGTTTGCATGGTTGCATGAAATGTTTTAACAGAAATCCAAGACGTGACCAGCCTAGGTGAGTGGATGTGGAATGAGCCTTATTCGTCTTTATTAAGTGTTTTTTTAATAAATATCAGGCATTCTGGATGTTAATTTCATTAGAAATGAAATGAATGAACCTCATTCTTGAGCTTTCTTACTTATTAAGGAATCACCTAGAGCTCTGCTGATCGAAACGTCCAAAATTTCTTCATGTTTTTCTACAAACTATGTGAAAGTTGTGAAGTTGCACAGTTCCAGCGTCATATTTATATCATATTTTATACATGTATCCTTAACAAAATCATTCCATATTTCTTTGAACAGAGTGCAAAGTCAAAGTCAGAGATCACGCCTTCATTTACAAGCTATTATTTATCAATAAATCACACATAACCCTAAACAACTAAAGCCAATCTCAGTTGTGTGAGTGTTCAGTGTGTCACTCTTTCCCTTTATTCCAGCTTCCATTCTTTTCAGGAGACTCACTTTCAGTTCCTCAAAGAATCTGCAGACACACCTCCAAAGTTCAGTCTTAGAAGCTGGTTGATCATTTTCTGAAGTAATCAAACACATTCAGTGGTGTTGAGGTCTGGACTCTGGGGTGGTCAGTCCATTGTTCAGCTTCTCTGTTTGATGTGTCCGTCTCCTTTTCTCAGTGAGGTTCTTCTTGAACAGCTACACATCCTTTCAGACCCACAGCGCTGAGTCGTCTTCTCACAGTGGAAGGATGGACAGAAACACCTGTGGATGTTTTCAGATCTGAAGCAGCTTGATTTTCTCCTCTCTCTCAAAGATGAAAGCTTTAAGTGCTGCTTATCTGATGGGGGGCAGTTTTGGGGTCTACCAGGTCTTCCAGGTGGTTGTTAGGTATCTCATTTTCTTTGTTGCCTTGAATCGTTTTCTGAACTCCAGTTTTGGAAACTTTCTTTATGCAAGTGGATGATTTTATATCTAATCTCCGAAATATCTCCTTTAGCCATTTTAGATGCACAGGAGAAATAAATCTGCGAGGCAGCTGAGGTGAGTTTGTGTAGCGGTTTGTGTGATTGTTAGTGTTTAAAGGGGAACAGAATGTCAGTGAGATCTGTGGGAGCAGCTTTTTTTGCCGCTGTAACTCGTTGGAAAGATGGAAGGAAGAGTTAAACTGTCAGTACAGTCAACAAAATTAAAAACTGGACAATTTAAACACTGATAGATTTGATTTTTTTACTGAGTGTTGGAAGACTTCTGTGTAATGCTTTTGTCTGACGCTGAAAGACTAATAACTTCTACTTAATGGTCATTTTGCTTGGAAATTGAATAAACAAAAGGCTGATCTCTGACTTTTGCACAGTACTGTATATAATTAAATATAATTTAGCAGGTTACACTGTAACTATGTTATCATCTTACCGATTCATCAGCTAACATAATGTTGTTCATTTACTGTGAGTTTTTTATTTTATAATTAGTAGCTACAACACATCAAGTTTACAGTGTGAATCCTTAACTTAGTAAATTAGAACACCGTCCATTTAATTCCAGCTGGGTTCTTTATCCAGCCAAGGTCAGATCAAGCAAAGCTCATGAAAAGAATTAAAGGGAAAGCACGCTCAGCAGGAGAAAGTCAGACTGTTTAACCTGTGTCCGGGAGGAGCGCAGCGCCATCCGTGCGAAAACGGTCATGGTGATGAGGATTACTGCACCTGTTAAGCTGTGGAACAGGAACACGGCTTCCAGGCTGTAGGCCGACAACTGTGGAATACAAAGCAGTTTCAGCAGGTGTTTTAAAATGATAAGCCTGTTATTTCATGTGTCAGTCTGTCCAAGTGACTTATATATAGCATATATATATATATATATATATATATATATATATAGCCAGCATTGGAGAGTAATCCACAATTTTATTACATTCGAATTATTTAAGTCAATTAGTAGAAAATGTACCCTGTACTTGTACTAAGTGGTTCTGCTTTTGGCAGCTTGCACTCAACTGCATTTGGAAAGAAAAAAAACAATCCCAGTACACTTCCTCTAAAGCACCCTAGTTTCTTAAATGCAGAGGAAACACCAGAGCTGGTTTGGTGTTTGAGGCTGACCGCTTCCTATTTCTCATATTATATCAAAAATATGACTATGAAACACCGAAGGGCGCCTGCAAGCTCGAGCATGAATGAATGTGGGTGAATGGAGCTAAACGGCTAAAAATGAAAAATTAAACACGTTTCTAACCACTTGTGTGAGAACTTCCTCTTGGAAGTGGAAAGATGTGTATATGTATTTACAGTGTGTATAGTGTAGTCTTTTAACTAGTTGGATGGCTTCCCCTCGCACTCCGCCACCTCAAATCAAGCCCTGAGTGTTAATCAGGGGTGTCAGACGCAAGCACTAAAGAGGCAATATTAAAAAATCTCAACAGATCTGTGAGACAGAGAAAAAAAATGTTTTTATTTCATTTTGAATTATTTTCTGCTATAACCCAAACTGGCCATTATTTATTTAAAATATGCAAAGAACTTAAGCTGTAAAATATAGTCGCTTATAATAGACCTTTAAATATTACATGAATACTTGAAATATTCAAAATGTAAACGTCCAAAGGAGCTCAGCCTTTTAAACCTACCTATCTGCTTGAACTGGACCCCTGGAATCCTTCCTTTGCTGCAAGTTCATTAAGACTTGCGCTCAGTTTCTGAGCTGATGAGCTGACAGTGGGTGTTTATGTTGGTTGAACTGCAGCTGAAATGTAGTTAGTGTGTTTGGTGATATGACTGGTGTGGAACTGAGGTGTAACTGCTGTGCCATAGATTGTTGTTGGGGTAGAAGAGTCAGAGCGCGCATTACATTGCAGTGCATGCTGGGGACTGTAGTGCAGTGCACTGTGAAATTAGCTAATATTAATAGACAATTAAAATACTTTTGTGGGCCCGATAGGATTGTGTCGTAGGCCTGATCTGCCCCGCGGGCCTTGTTTTTGACCCACGGGCTGTAAATAATAGATTTAAATTTACATTGAAAGCACACTGATCCGCTTTATTCACGGAAAAATGGTCTATTGTGGTAGAAACAGGTCCAGCTTCCTTCTTAAAGAAGTGAAAATGTTGGATCTTACAGTGATCAGCTGTTATTAGCAGAGCATATTGCGAAAGTGACCGGAACTCACAGTCTTGAGCAGCCTGTCTCTGACTACTGAAGTAATGGGGGTGGAGCTTCCAGCATTCCCTACCGTTTTGTTCGTTTAAGCTCATTTGCTTTTTGCTCGCTGTTATTCTTTCCCCAAGAATATGTCTGAATGTATTTGATGTTTAGGGGTGTAACGATTCTGAAACAGGGACCGAAACCGCAATACACACATCCACGGTCTCGTGGCATTCTGGCAGATGGAACCCTGATACCCTCTTGGAACATAATTGTACTTTTTATTATCTGCCTTTGCTGGGATAAAACTGCAGTAACGCACAGCCTCTTGTGGCTTATTGCTTTTATAAAACGCCAGCCAACAAGAAATATGGTAAAATACACATATTTAAGCTATTATTAATAATAATCAACATAAACAAGTTACCATGGACAGCTGAATGAGGAGAACATTCAGTTGCCCATCGCTGTATATTGCGGTCACTTCATGAACTTTTTTTGATAACACAGCACTGTTTAATGTAAAAACCTTCGCTTTATAAGCACTTTTTGGTCACTAAATTACCACCGCGAGTCTTATTTAGCACCAATCCAGCGGCGCCCCTCTTCTCACGCTGGGGCTGAATCTTAAACGGCTCCCTGCTCCCTACATAGTGCACTACGTAGGAGTTTAAATACTGGATCCTGCAGCCCAACAGAGCAAAATACAGCTAAGAAACAGTCATTTGGGACTCAGACACATCCACACTCGATACATGATGCACTGTTTGGCTGTAGAGGCTGGAATTTCTAAACTTTCATAGCTAGAACACTATTTAGGGAGTACGGAGCCGTTTGGGATAGAGCCTGGGTTTGACGCTACAACTGACTGAAACAGGAACATTTGAAGTGTGTAAAACATTGAAGTGACATTTTTAGACCTTTATACTGCAGTTTTACAGTTAATCATACTGTAAGTGCTTTAATTCAGGCCTGTGATATTAATGATGGACTATTGGCTGTTGGCTCTTTTAGCCTGTTAGCTAACTGACCAGCCCAGTTCTAGTTAAGAACATAAGTTGCCAGCGGATCATATAAACAGAACCGGGTTCTTACTTGATCAGTACACTCGGTGGTCAATGCGAGCAGCATGAGAGTCAAACATTATTCCATTAACAGCAGAAGGGTTTTTCAAGCCGTGGTGCAGTGATACAGGGTTCAGTTGTTGTGAGGCGGTTATAGATGTGTGTATATCAGGGATTTTACAACAACTTTGAATGTGGCTCAGCCAATCAGATTTTAGGGCTGGAACTATCCATTTTATAACACAGTAGTAGATAAACTGTAGGTAAACAGTAAATTACTGGAAAACCTGCTGCCAGTACATTTTTTACAGTGAGCTTCTCTGCTATTTGGGCTACTCTGAATCATGGGTATCTGGAAATTGTGACTGTTTTTAAGGTAACTCACATAATGTTGCTCCACCACTGGTTCCAGCTCTGTATGATTGTCAGGGCTGTACGTGCTGTACAGACGATAGTAATGATTTTGTGAGATGACCACCATGGCTTTGATGAAATCAAATGCAGCAAATATAGACCCCAGTATTGAGATGATACTAAGAGCCAGACTAGCTGTGACCTGCAAGAGAAGACATGTAAAGTTTTAAATTTCAGTCACCGAAACATTTCAGCGGAAAATCAGTCAAAAAAGGCACTTCGGGTTTTCTACTGAAAGAGGGAAAAATGTTCAATGTTTCCATATCTGTGTCTGTATCTTTGTGATGATCCAGCGCAGAAATCCAGTTCAAACACTTCCTGAATCTGTAGAGTCGCCCTTTCCATTCCATCTTATCTCGAGATCATACGAGACTCACATCCGGAGTTATGAGCCTATGAAGAGGGGCTGAGATACACGTCATCTGCCTCTCACCGCGTGGAACTGGTGGATTCGTGTGCCTGTCTACATTCTGTGTGAAACTGACCAATGGACACTCAGGAAATCACTAAGGACTGACCATCACGCCGGAAACCCTTCATTCTTCATTCAGTCCGCATCGGAGACACACGTGAAATGGCGCTCAGAGAGTTTACAGCTGCTGAAGCTGCTACAGCGGTTTTGGAAAATAGTGATGAAGATAACGGAGCATTTTGATATGAAACGTATGAGGATCATGTTATATGAAGAGCTTTAAAGGAGAGTTTAAGAAGATATGAACAAATCGAGAGAATTATGTCAGTATCAGATATCAATTATCAGCCAAAGGCTACTCACAATCTTTTTGGTGGGTTCACGTTCTGCCAGTATGTAGAGAACACCGCACGTAAAGTACTGCAAAACACAGAAAACACATTTTAGGAAGAGGCTAAACAGAACATACGGATACAGTAAATCCCATTTCTTATTTTTACCCCTATCCCTTGTTGTAAGGGGTAGTGGTTGAAATCGTATGTACCATACCTCTATGAAATGGGACCCTCAAATAAAAAAAGCATAGCGCTGCTCTGTAGGCGACCCTGCCAGTCTGCAGTGACAGCAGAGGAGGGTAAAGTTCAGCTCCTCACTGCTGGGCTTTAGTTACATCTAGGGAATCATATGCCTTCAAAGAGGGGGGCAATTATTTATTATCACCCACCCCTAATTCTTCAGTGACATGAAGCTGAAGTCAGATATTCTCCAGCTTCTTATTCAAATTTTTCTGTTCCACTTTAAATGGAGCAGCAGTTACATTCTGGCGCTTCAGGCGTCAGAACTGCTGGACTATTTAAGGTGGAATGGGAAAGTTAGCTACTGATACGTTAGCATACTATTAGTGATTTTTTTCTTGTTATGAAGTAAACAACCATAATACACTGAAACAACACTAAACTAAGATCATACAGTGGTTACTGTCATTTTTAACAGAGAAAATTCTCACATTTGTGTGTTTTTTTGGTCTCTTGTGCTCCATTTTGCCTTTTTTTTTTATCATAACACTCTGTTTGGGGCCTCTGAAAAACCTCCGTTTGGAGGGTCATGTAGCCCTAACACTTCACCTTACCCCTCTATCTCAACAAGAATCGGGACACCCTACTCCTGGACGTGAACGCGCAAAATGGAGGGCTAAGTGGTAGGGGCGATGGGTGAAATGGGACTGGGCCTAAGACTTTAATCAATACATCAAAAGTCTTTTGAACTTACATGAAGGTCAGTAGAAGATGTGATAATATTGAACTATCCGGCTTTTCCTCCAGGATCTTAAAGCAATATTCCAAACAAAAATGCAACAACCATCAAAGAAACTGACCTGTCCAGGCTCCGCCCACAGATGTGTTGACAGATGTGTAGCAGCTGCTGCGAGGTTGAACAGTCTTTACAGAATATTGCCATAAATCCCATTCAATGTAGTTTGGAGTTTTGATTTTCTACATAACACTTGAGTTTCCAGTTTGCTATGCTAGACACCTAATAGTACTGAGTGCTCACCACATAGTATCTGGTACACACCTGATAGTATCGGGCGCTCACCACGTAATATCTGGTACACACCTGATAGTATCTGGTGCTCACCCGATAGTATCGGGCGCACACCACAAAGTATCTGGTGCTTACCTGATAGTATCAGGTGCTCACTACTTAGTATCTGGTGCTCACAGATGCTGTTGTAATTGCAGCTAGGCAGGTTAAAATAAATTTGTCACCATGCAAACTTCAACAGCGCTACACAGCATGAAGTCTTAACTTCAAACACACGCAAAACAAATATAATTAAAAATGAATAACACATTATAAAGTTTCGTATATTGTGGGGATATGAAATATTTTCATTTTCTAATATTCTATGAAATATATTTTTCTTATCAGCTTAAAATGTTTCATTTGAATGACTTTTATTATTATTATTATTCTTAATAACATTAATAAAATTACTATTTTCACTCTTAAAAATGACGTTTTATACATGCTCACTATTTTTGTTCTAGTTTTTTTCAATCATTTTGTTTTTTTAAAACTCGTAGCCTTACTTATCTAACTATTTATTTATGTTTTTAATAAAACCTACTACTATAAATACTAAAAGGTGGAAAAAATGCCAACCCATGTAATTGTGCCCAATCTGGCAACCCTGAATGGGGTACTAATGCTGTTGGATTGTGTCCGTGACAGGTATAGTAACAGTAACTATAACAGTAACTATAACTATTTCTCTTTGGATTTGAATGGGATTTTTCTCACTGTCCTGTGAAGTCCAACCGCGCAACAGCCGTTACGAAAGAAGGCAGGAGCATTAACCACTACTTACTACTAGGCAATGTTCAGATTTTTGTTTGATCCTACATAAAAAGCACATTTACATCAATAATATTTTGGGTTATTTACTTTTCTCCATCTGAAGAGTGATGCACTGTGACAACAGTAACAATAATGTGGACCATTGTGTGTGTGGTGGCATTATTAACTGCCACTAATCATTTAAGCAGTAGAACCCGAGAGGAAGTGTGTTACCGTGAAATAACATCACGGCTGTGATTTGGTCGCCGTAGATCATCACAGCCGTGATGTTATTGGCGATAACACACTCCTCGAGGGTTCTATTGCTTTAATACAACAGTTAAATAAATAAAGTAATAAATTAATAAACTGGGCCGTGAACGCGGCGTTTAATATGTTTTAATGTTCGCAGTTCCTTCACCAAATTATAGTTCCTTAACGAGCAGCTTGTTGCTACGTCAGAGTAACGAACTCCGCCCACTTGCTGCACAGCCTGCTGTAAGCCTTGCCTTTTGAAGTACAGACTGAGCGCCGCAAACTGACGCAATATCAAGTTCAGCTCCGTTTGGTCAGTTTTTGCCAGATCAGTATTAATGTTGTTTTGTTCCAGCCAGTCTGTAAAGCATCTTACAGCCCATTTAGTTTGGCGAATGGTGTTGGGTTCATTTCTGGCTGATTCCAGGTTGTTTAGCTGTTCTTCTGTCACAGCTGCCGACTGAAAAGCTGCTCAGTGGTGACGACAGTTTGGGAATTTAGTGTGGTCTGACCAAATCGGCTGTCGGTCAAATGTGAGAATGTGAGAGTAAGAAGTAAAAACGTTCAAATGGCTCGAGCGTCTCCTACAGCTGCCAAAGTCGTTGCTCAGCAACGGCGTCTCAGCGGAGTGATACAGTGTTTGTGAAAAACTTGTGATGTTAGAACGCTTCTCAGCCAATCAGCTTGCGTGGCTGCAACCAACTGTTATACAATAATAGACAACAACAGAATAACACGCCGATGAACGTACCAGGATGCCCAACCAAAAGGAGCTGTAGATGTCTGATGAGCTTTCCAGCGTGTCCATTTTCGGAGGGATTCCAAACATGAACAGACAAGAGCCCATGAGGATCAGCACAATCTTGCAGCCCAGGAAAACAGAAGAAATTAAGTCAGGTCGCACATCATAATGTATCTGCCAACAGTCTTTATGAACCTGTTTTACTGCCTGTGCCACATATTGAATGTAGAAGGACGTATTCCACTAAAAATCAAAGAAAACTTGTCCATATTTTGGTTGGTGGGGGTCCTGACCACTGAAGAACAGCTTATAAAGTATACAAAGAAACAGATGGACTACAGTCTGTAATTGTAGAACACCTAATGGTAAACATCTGGTGAACACCAGATACTATGGGGTGAGAACCAGATACAGATGTGGTAAATTTTTTTTTTTAAAGTATCTGGTGCTCAGCTGATAGTATTGGGTGCTCCCCACTTAGTATGTGGTGCTCACCACGTTATAAGTAATAATTATGAAATACTAGATCATAATTATGACACTGAATCTCATCATGAGACAGCAAGTCATAATTGAGATGTTAAGTCATAATTACGAGACAGTAAGTCGTAATTATGAGATTGTAAGTCATAATTATGAAATACTAGATCATAATTATGACACTGAATCTCATCAATTTGAGACAGCAAGTCATAATTGAGATGTTAAGTCATAATTACGAGACAGTAAGTCGTAATTATGAGATTGTAAGTCATAATTATGAAATACTAGATCATAATTATGACACTGAATCTCATCATTATGAGACAACAAGTCATAATTGAGATGTTAAGTCATAATTCTGACATTGTAAGTCATAATTAAGGAGAACCTTCTCACTGTCACGACTTATTAAATGGCTTTATGTGTTTCTCCAGTGGTGGAAACCATATTCCGCCCTGCTCCCCCAGTTTGAACCCAAATGAGCAAACAGGAGATAAGCAGTACTGCACTCTCTCACCCCAACGGTCTTCGGCTCTCCTCTGAGGAAGCGGTGCAGAGGCTTCGAGCCGCCGGTGACGGTCTGTGTGGTGGCGCCCTCTGCTGGAATGCCCTCCTTTCCTACATTTGCAGCCATCTGTGCTCAGATTTGGGGACACACAACACTGAGGAAAGTGTCAAAAATGCCGTTAAAGCGAGACACAGTGTCTGTGTTCAGTCATTTCTGGGGATAATCAATGGAACACGTCTCTGTGTTGGTAAGTAGTCAACATTTCAGTGTGCAATAGAAGGCAGGAGCAATTTTCCCGTTCCACCTTAAATGGTACAGCCGTTACATTCTGGCGCCTGATGCGCCACAATGTAACTCCTGCACCATTTAAGGTGGAACGGCGGAATTCGAACACGAAGCCAGCGATTAGGAATCTAACTTTAGCCTCGTCGCTAAAACAGATCAAAACAGGCCTTAAAACCACGTTTTAATGTCCAGACTAGAATTCAGACGTGTTTTTAGCCGTTTTTCCAGCTTATTAACACGACAGGAGTGACAACAAACCACCCCACAGGCTTCAGACCACCAACAAAACAACACAAACTAGCCGCTCACAGTAAGAAAGAACAATATAACGTACCTTCAAATGTGTGTGTGGGTCAGCCGCGCAGATTTTACAGTATTTCACAACGCTGGAGGGAGGGAGGGAGGAAAAAGAGGGGGAAAAAACGAGTGGAAGGGACTGGACAGAGGATGGGGCGGAGACTGAGGCCCCATGTTTGGGTGCAGTTCCAAAAGTTCACTGCAGCAACACAGAGCTGTGGAGCTTTAGCAGCCTCTGGCTTCTTAGGTGTTAAAGTGGAACTCCACCACATTTTTCAAAATTTCCCCATAATCCACCATGTAAACAAAGTCATACAAAAGTGGTTTGGTGTGAAACGCTCCCTTCTAGACAAACCTGTCCTCTCAGATGTCTTTACAGTGGTGGTGATGGGAACCAGGGGTCGCCATGTCTAGAACACATTTTAGCCATTTTATTTACTATCCAGAACCACCAGTGAACCTACATGAGTTTTTCTATGTGATTTTGATAAAAGATCTGAAAGAAAGAAGTTTCCTTTGGGGACTATTTTGCCTCGCAACACCCTCCATCGTAAATATATTCTAAAAAACAGGCCAAATCCATCCTCACAATTATTGTAAACCAGTGTTTCAGGCATTAGGCAGAGTTTTTGGAAGCATTTGGAGTGATATCTTTATGTAAGGGAGCTTTTAAAGGTGGACGTCTGGTTCCTATCACCACCACTGTGAACATTTCGGACTGTAAGTTTCTCTAGAACCACACCAAACCACTCTGAATGACTCGGTTTACATCTTAACCATTTAATTAAATTAACTGGTGTAAAAAAAGTGTGTAGAAATACACCCATTATCCATTTTATCGGCTCCACTGACCATATAGGTGCACTTTGTAGATCTACAGTTACAGACTGTAGTCCATCTGTTTCTCTGCATACTTTGTCACCCTGTTCTTCAGTGGTCAGGACCCCCATGGACCCTCACAGAGCAGGTACTATTTAAATGGTGGATCATTCTCAGCACTGCAGTAACACTGATGTGGTGGTGGTGTGTTAGTGTGTGGATCAGACTCAGCAGTGCTGCTGGAGTCTTTAAACACCTCAGTGTCACTGCCGGACTGAGAACCAAAAATATCCAGCCAACAGTGTCCTGTGGGCAGCGTCCTGTGACCACTGATGAAGGTCTAGAGGATGACCACCACAAACCGTGCAGCAGCAGATGAGCTATCGTCTCTGATTTTACGTCTACAAGGTGGACTGACAAGGTAGGAGTGTCTACTAGAGTGGACAGTGAGTGGACACAGTGTTTAAAAACTCCAGCAGCACTGCTGTGTCTGATCCACTCGCACCAGCACAACACACACTAACACACTACCACCACGTCAGTGTTACTGCAGTGCTGAGAATGATCCACCACCCAAATAGTGCCGGCTCTGTGGGGGTCCATGGGGGTCCTGACCACTGAGGAACAGGGTGTAGATACAAGGAGGTGTACTTAGTGAACTGGAGTGGTCAGTGTATATTATATATGCCTGTAGGAATCCTATAGAATCTTATAGGATCGTATAGAAAACTATAGTATTACTGTAGTTTTTTCCATAGTTTCTTTTCTATGATAGATGACTGTAGTGTGGTTGAGAGTGGAGGGGACTTTGGAGAAAGGGAGGGTGGGAGGGCGCTGACAGTATGTAAACAGCCCGTTGCAGCAGTGAAGGGATATGATACAGCTGCTTGGAGCAGCCACGGCATCTATGGTAGTTAATGCGATACAGATGTTGCCAGATGTTCAGGCCCAAAACACGAGGAGCGCTTTGAAATAATTACAGTACATATCATGTGTAGTACTTTGATCTGAAAGAATGAAAGGCCATAAGAAGAGTAATAGCACAGTATATGAAGGCTCTGGAGAGGTGGGGAGTAACAAAGTACTGTAGCTTTATTAATGTACTTAAGTAGTGTTTTCAGATGTCTTTACAGTACTTGAGTTTTTGTATGTGAGGCACTTCATGGATCTGGCTTGTGACTCACTGATTCACTCCCATGTTTAAAGGCTGAAAATCCTCCACAAGCAGTGAGACAGTTTTTTATGCTTTATATGGACAGTGCTTCACATCAGTGACGCTGCAAAGTACCTATGACTTTTGACTTCAAAAGAACAACATCTATTTTCTATTAGGTACTTCGAAACATTATTTATGCTCTGTAATCTACCGTATTGTATCAGTAGGTGATTTGTGCAGCAGTTGATTCAGTTCCAAATTTCTAACAAACTTAAACCCGAACTGATGTGACAACAAGAAAAGAGAGAAATAATTCCTTTATATATTTATTAAAAAAAATTATTAAAAAACTTCTTAACAGAGTTAAAACTTCTGTATGCAAAAGTGAGCAAGTGATTAGGGAGTCAAGATGTAATCAGGGAACATCTCTGTGGGTTGTAAAGTAAAGAAGGAGTTAGGGAACTGCTCTGTAGGGAGAAAGGAAGTAAACAATTAGTGAACACTTCTTTGTAGAGAGTAAAGATGTAATTAGGAAACTGCTCTGTAGGTAGTAAAGAAGTGATTTGTGAACTTCTCTGGGGGAATGAAGTAGAGTCATGATTAGGGAGCTTTTCTGCACTCTGTAAAGTAGAGAAGCGAGTAGGGACGTTTTCCATACTTTGTAAAGTAGATAAGCAATTATGGAACTTCTCTGGGGGAAAAAGTGGGGAAACCTCTCTGTACAATATAGAAGAGAAGCAATTAGGAAACTTCTCTGTACAGTGTAAACTAGACGTATGATCAGGGAACATTTCTTTGTATAGTGTAAAATACAGGAGTGATTAGGAAACTTCTCTTTACAGTGTAAACTAACAAAGTGATTAAGGAACTTCTCTTTACAGTGTAAACTAACAAAGCGATTAAGGAACTTCTCTTTACAGTGTAAACTAACAAAGCGATTAAGGAACTTCTCTTTACAGTGCAAAGTAACAAAGCAGTTAGTGAAGTGATTAGGGAACTTCGCTTTACAATGTAACGTAGAGAAGTGATTAGGGAACTTCTCTATACAGTGTAAAGTAACAAAGCGGTTAGGGAACTTCTCTATACAGTGTAAAGTAGAGAAGTGATTAAGGAACATCTCTTTACAGTGTAAACTAACAAAGCGATTAAGGAACTTCTATTTACAGTGTAAAGTAACAAAGCGATTAAGGAACTTCTCTTTCTCTTTCAGTGTAAAGTCGTGAAGTGATTAAGGAACTTTGCTTTACAATGTAAAGTGAAGAAGTTATGAGGGAACTTCTCTATACAGTGTAAAGTAACAAAGCGGCTAGGGAACTTCTCTGTAAAGTCTAAAGTAAAGAAGTGATTGGAAAGCTGTCTGTATGATGTAACAAAATGCGTCTGTTAAAAAGGTGCATTAAGAATCCATACTTTTGTACCTTAAAGTAAAGAATCTGAAACTGTACTTCATCTTTCTTTAAACATGTATTTGCAGTTTTACGTGAGTATGAAATTTGTGCTTCTGCTTCCTCTGTTCCTCTGCCACTGGTCTGCTGTTCGTGTGACCATGACTCCAGTACGACTCCCGCTGTGAACTCCATAATAGAGGCCTTTTTGTTACACAGTAAATAACATTCCTCAAGCTTCTCGGGACCTTTTCCCTTCCCCTGTCCTGCCCAAGAGGCTGCATGCAGCTGCAGAGGAAATCATTCTCGCCCCCTTATTAACCTCTTTGCAGCTTCTCCTGCATATGCTTATGGTTCTGTTACAACAGGAGTAAATATTTGAGTAGAACCCAAACAGTGTGGAACACTTTTGACAGGCTTTTGTGCTTTCATGCTGAAGTTTATAATTGTGTTTGACATCAATAATTCAGGCTTTATTAGTGAAGCGGAAAAAGTGTTGGAGAGCTAGAAAAACTCTGAGGCAAGCAGAGTGGGTCACTGAGCTGACAACCTAAGATTATTGCAGAACTCCCAGTGTTCTGTAAGGAAGATTGGGTGAAAATTCCTAAAACAAGAACAGAAAGACTCCTAATTGGCTACAAAAAGTGTTTGCAAGCTTTTATATCTGCCAAAGGAGGTGTTGTTAAATATTGACTTAGTAAGGCATCCAATATTTCCAAATGCCACAATTCCAATTTCATTTTTCACATTTTTAAGTTAATGATTTGTAATGTTACATTACATAAATGTTTAACATGGCGCATTAGCATTAACATAATTTGCTGCAGGTATTCACTTCTTTTCAACAAAATCTTTGCCCAGGTGTGCCCAAATTTTGCCATATGTGCATGTGTGTACATATAAATATGCAGGCTGGGAAAGATTATGAAAGGCCAATAAGAGATCATTAACTCAAGAAATAACACATGCAGTTAGCAAAGGTTTTTCATATAAGGTAAACGACTCAAATTTACAATGATTTCATTGTCTCTGGGTAAACAGCAGCCTTCTTTTGCAAACCAGACTATTAAACTGCAAGTTTTAATCTCTCTAAAACACACAGGGGTCGACCACAGACCTTTTGCAGGTTTTCAATACCATCTTTTATTAAAAATCGCATTAAAATAGAGATCAATTATTTCTGCAACTTACAAAATCAAAAGCAAAAAAGTTTTTATTTTAATGCGCGTATGTACAAATAGGGACACAAATTACAAAAAGAGGAGCATTAAATATCTGACCATGAAAAAAGGCATCAAAGTGTTTGAGTAAAATGATTAAACTGGTACAATGGTACAAACTGATTACCAGTTGGCGTCATCTTTCAATTGTTCCTCAGATCCATTCAACCGAATGCTTGATACTGGAGAAAGCTGGGTGATTCCTGTGCACGTCAACTCATTCGCATCACTATTAAAACATGCATAAGATATTATAATCCATTCACTGCCTGAGTGGAAACATTACATGTGTAGACACGTCAGAGGGCCACATAGTACAAAAATAACTTTTGAAAACTCAAATTTAAAACTCTTTATAAAAAAGCACTAAAGGTTACAGCCGTTGATGCCATGGCGTCTCGTTATACGGCAACATGAAATGCCATCTATTAGAAGACACTTGTGTCTATCAGGCGAGCTGTTTGATATAAACAAAAAACAACAACAAATGATATAGCCTCTTTGTCTATGTAAAATATAAAGCTAGCAAAAGTTTTGCCATATGTCTTTATCCGAGAGGTGTAATAGATATATTAGCACTGTGCTAACTATTTAAATATATCAAATGTTGTACGGTATACAGCAGCCAAGCCTCTCCGTCACCTAACTCAGCATGCACTCAGTGGAGCCATGCGTTCTGCGCGGCTTCCTTTAAATAGCAAGCTTTAAAATCAAAGCTTGCCTTTCAATCCCCTGCCAAACTTCTTTGCCGGAAGAAAAGCTCCAACCTGAAAAAAGAACCTCTGGGAAGCATCCCAAAGGCCTCCGAGCCAAACATAAGGCTGTATAGATCAAAAAAAGGTAAATGCTATTATGACTGCCGTGATAAAATCTATCTCCTGCGCTTTCTTCTGATGGCACCGCATGACCAAATCCCATTCCCCTCCCCGTCTAACCGAACGTCCTGGTTGTCCTTGCTTAGTTCCGTGGCTGAGAGTTGAACTCCTGGCAGATGTTGTGGATGATCTTCGGCACGTATTTGTAGAGGTTATCAAACTCATCCACGAAGAAGGAGTGATCTCTGTCTGGATCTGTGGCGATGTACTCCAGCTCATCCTGGGCGGCCCAGGCGATGCCGATGGAGTAGGCGATGACCCCTGGGTAGACAGTTAAAGCAGAGACAGTTTACGTGAGCTATAAAACCCAGAACCTGTGAAGGAGAGTGGGGCTCAACGTAACACATTTTGTTTCTTGCTAAATGATTTTAAAAGCATTTGATTGACATATATATGTTTTTTATACACGCAAGCTCCACAACTCTGTTATGAATGAAAATATACACTTTGTTTTTTGGCATGTATCATTTGTGAACAGTTCAGCCTAAAGCAGAGTGAATGCATTTGAACCCGATGGGATTTTTAAATACTAAATACTTAAATATATGCACATTAAAGTAAGTATAACTAGTGAAAAGAGGCTGTATCAAACATTTGGAAATTTAGAAGTGAACATCAACACAGTAAAATTCTAAATATATTTTATTTACATGACATCTACATATGTTTTACTAAGGCCCTGAAGTGCCATGAATGAAAAATTAAATGAAAAAAATGCAATAGCACTGTGTTCTCTTGCAGTCCCTCACAAAGTTTCTGCTTCCCAAACTTTCCTGCTTCCCAAAATTCCCTGCTTGCAATCTTTCTGCATTCTCTTGCAAACTTTCTGCTTTCCTTTTGCAAACTTTGTGTTCCCTTGCAAACTTTCTGCATTCCCTCTTGCAAACTTTCTGCTTTCCTTTTGCAAACTTTGTGTTCCCTTGCAAACTTTCTGCATTCCCTCTTGCAAACTTTCTGCATTCTCTTGCAAACTTTCTGCTTTCCTCTTGCAAACTTTCTGCTTTCCTCTTGCAAACTTTGTGTTCCCTTGCAAACTTTCTGCATTCCCTCTTGCAAACTTTCTGTGTTCCCTCTTGCAAACTTTCTGCATTCCCTCTTGCAGACTTTGTGTTCCCTCTTGCAAACTTTCTGCCTTCCCTCTTGCAAACTTTCTGTGTTCCCTCTTGCAAACTTTCTGCCTTCCCTCTTGCAAACTTTCTGTGTTCCCTCTTGCAAACATTCTGCCTTCCTCTTGCAAACTTTCTGTGTACCCTCTTGCAAACTTTCTGCCTTCCCTCTTGCAAACTTTCTGCATTACCTCTTGCAGACTTTCTGTGTTCCCTCTTGCAAACTTTCTGCCTTCCCTCTTGCAAACTTTCTGTTCCCTCTTGCAAACTTTGTGTCCCCTTGCAAACTTTCTGCCTTCCCTCTTGCAAACTTTCTGCGCTCCCTTGCAAACTTTCTGCATTGCCTCTTGCAAACTTTCTGCTTCCCTCTTACAAACTTTCTGTGCTCCCTTGCAAACTTTCTGCATTGTCTCTTGCAAACCTTCTGCTTCCCTCTTGCAAACTTTCTGCCTTCCCTCTTGCAGACTTTCTGTGTTCCCTCTTGCAAACTTTCTGCCTTCCCTCTTGCAAACTTTCTGCATTCCCTCTTGCAAACTTTCTGCGTTCCCTCTTGCAAACTTTGTGTTCCCTTGCAAACTTTCTGCATTCCCTCTTGCAAACTTTCTACGTTCCCTCTTGCAAACTTTCTGTGTTCCCTTGCAAACTTTCTGCATTCCCTCTTGCAAACTTTCTGTGTTCCCTTGCAAACTTTCTGCATTCCCTCTTGCAAACTTTCTGCCTTCCCTCTTGCAAACTTTCTGCATTCCCTCTTGCAAATTTTCTGTGTTCCCTTGCAAACTTTCTGCATTCTCTTGCAAACTGTGTTCCCTTGCAAACTTTCTGCTTTCCCTCTTGCAAACTTTCTGTGTTCCCTCTTGCAAACTTTCTGCCTTCCCTCTTGCAAACTTTCTGCGCTCCCTTGCAAACTTTCTGCATTGCCTCTTGCAAACCTTCTGCTTCCTTCTTGCAAACTTTCTGCATTCCCTCTTGCAAACTTTGTGTTCCCTCTTGCAAACTTTCTGTGTTCCCTCTTGCAAACTTTCTTTGTTCCCTCTTGCAAACTTTCTGCCTTCCCTCTTGCAGACTTTCTGTGTTCCCTTGCAAACTTTCTGTGTACCCTCTTGCAAACTTTCTGCCTTCCCTCTTGCAAACTTTCTGCATTCCCTCTTGCAGACTTTCTGTGTTCCCTCTTGCAAACTTTCTGCCTTCCCTCTTGCAAACTTTCTGTGTTCCCTCTTGCAAACTTTGTGTCCCCTTGCAAACTTTCTGCCTTCCCTCTTGCAAACTTTCTGCGCTCCCTTGCAAACTTTCTGCATTGCCTCTTGCAAACTTTCTGCATTCCCTCTTGCAAACTTTCTGCATTCCCTCTTGCAAACTTTCTGCGTTCCCTCTTGCAAACTTTGTGTCCCCTTGTAAACTTTCTGCGTTCCCTCTTGCAAACTTTCTGCATTCCCTTGCAAACTTTCTGCTTCCCTCTTGCAAACTTTCTGCATTCCCTCTTGCAAACGTTCTGCGTTCCCTCTTGCAAACTTTGTGTTCTCTTGCAAACTTTCTGCATTCCCTCTTGCAAACTTTCTGTGTTCCATCTTGCAAACTTTCTGTGTTCCCTTGCAAACTTTCTGCATTCCCTCTTGCAAACTTTCTGCATTCCCTCTTGCAAACTTTCTGTGTTCCCTTGCAAACTTTCCCCGTTCCATTGCAAACTTTTTGCATTGCCTCTTGCAAACTTCCCTTGCAAACTTTCCATGTGTCTGTGGTAAGTTTCAGCATTACAGACTAGATCAGACCTAAAGTCCAGTTTCCAGTTCTGTATATTGTATTTATTTGTAATAAACTGAACTGTTGATGTAACTGATTGGCCACCTAGTGTAACTACCAGTGACCGCAAAATCCAGCATGGGCCTTTCGACTAGATCAGAAAGTCCCAATCCTGGGGAAAAAGACACTATGGACAATTTTGTGCATTCCGTCATCCAACACACCTGATTTAACTCTTACAAGCTCCTCATGTGCCATGTCGGGTGTGTTAAGCAGGGTTGGAATTGAGGGGGACTGGAGGGTCCCGGACCTCCCATAAGCTTTAAGTCAGCAACGACCATGAAGACGGTGACAGTAAATGCTGTTTGCAGCAATGCTATAAACTAATAAATATGTATTTGTTAGCAAAGATTTTTGATTTTATGCTCTTCGAGAAAATGCAGACCAGCCTGTTTGTTAAGTTCAACTTCATTTTTACACTCTTTTCTGATAAATTTAATAGAATAATCTTTATCCTATTTGGAATCACTTAACTAACTCTTCATAAACTAGCAAGGTGAAAGATTATGAGGCTGTATTGACATAAGAGACCATTAGCATTTGTCAGTTTCTCTGAAAGACTTCGTTTGTCTTTCTTGGTGTAATTTTTAAGCCACATGTGATCCGCTATGGCTTTTTGTGGCCTCATTATGGGTTTAATTAAATACAGTCATGGCTGGAATGTTCCAGGAATTTGCTGGAACTTTCCTGTCAAAGTAAGCGGTTCTTGGCTGTTTGCGAATGTGAAGCCATTAATAACAGGGTGTATTTAGCATTTCAGCTAAAGACAGGGCTAAGAGGTACACTTAATTTCCTATTTGTTCTGACACGTGAAACAGGTTAAATAAATTTTGCGTGGATGGAGAAGAATTCATGCCAGAAAAAAGGGACTAAACTGTCACTGGGGCAGTGCCCCTCTTGTCACTGGGGTGGGACCTTCAAGGGTCCATCTCAGTACCTTTAGTCAGGGAACATAACTGAACCATAATCCACTGAAATGGCATTTTCTAAGCTGTACTGACTCCACACACCCCGTCTCGTCTCCAGGACTTTATTTTACTGTTCTGTTTTACAACATTCGGTTATGAAAAGGTACAAATACGAACTTTTCACCTGGAAAAACTTACTTAAGGTTCACAATCAGACCTTAAAACCACGGTTGTACCTTTGAGGGAACATTTACATTGTTTGTACCTTGATGTATGAACAAGGTTCCTGTACAGAACCTTTATTTCTAACAGTGGAACAAATGTGAAATGCACACATGACATTACTTTCCCATAGTGTCAGGTAGAACACATGCCAAAATGGAAAACAAAACATCTTTTACATTTTCATGTCGTTTGACCTCTTTATTGAAAAAACAATGCACAAGGGTTAGCATTTAAAACAAGAAATGCTCTGAAATCATGTCAGAGTTGAATACAGTCCACCTTGAAATGTACTGAAAGCACGGCTATGCTGCTTTCCACTGTGCAGTACTTTAAACAGACTGTAATTTGACGCAGTGGCTCATTTTGCCACATTTGCCACATGTTACTGTTTAAACACAACCTCATGTGTGCACTGCATTTCACTGTTTTGGTTGCATTTCAGTGAGGCAGATACATCTGAAGTGCAAAAAAGTGTGACGTGAAAACAGTGCAGTGGGGGTTTCGCTTTTCATTTTGGCATGTATTCTGCATGTCACCTATGGAAAAATACTGTAATGAGTGCACCGTATTTCACTGTTTTCACTGTTATGATTGCATTTCTTTGAGGAAAATCTGCACACTGGAAAGCAGTACAGCCATGCCTTCATTATGTTTCAAGGTGGATTGCATTCAATTCTAACATAAATTCTGCATTTAATTTTTTTAATGCAAAATGTTTTTGTTTTTTTTCAGTAAAGAGGTCAAGCGACATAAAAACAGTGTAATAAAGGTTTTACTATTTATTCTGGCACATATTTTGCATCATGTGCATTGCATTCCATGTTTTTCCTCTGTAGGGATTGGTTTTCAATGAATTTCTCAAAAGTATATTAAATTTGTATTGTCATATGAATGTGACCAAGTCGGCTGAAATGAAAGTGGCTCAGATCTGAGTCACATTAGGGCAAAAAATCGGATTTGTGCCACTTCAACCTGCTAATGTGAACTTAGCCTTTCTTATGTGGTCCTAGATCTGATATGTATCCGATTTGTGGCCACGCAACCTTAATGTGATGCTCAGATCGGAATTCATGTGCTTTTTTTCCACTGCGCATGCACCATCATTCAGTGTTGCCATGGCAGCAGCGCCGAACAGAAGTTAAAGCCTGTAAACTGTGGAAAAGCAACACATCTCACCTTTTTCACCTTTGTCTCACTCTAATAATCGGATTTGATCGGATTGGATTTCAGCAACAAGGCTTGTAATGTGAACGTAGCCTTAAAAGAAAGGGAAAAACCAGAAAAGCTTAACAGGTCCCCTTTAACACCTACCTGAACGATGCACTGCCAAAGCAGGGGCCCGCACGTCGTCGTAGGAACGCCCGTCTGTGATGACGATCATGATCTTGCGCTTGTTGGGTTTGGACTTGCTGAACAGCTGCTCGGCCGCGTACGTGATGGCAGCTCCTGTGCTCGTTCCGCCGCTCCAGTAATTGATGCGCTTGATTGCGTTCAGCAGGTCGGCCTTGGTGTTGTGCTGGCCGAAGGCGAACTCGAGCCGCTGCTCGTACGTGTACTGCACAGCACCCACGCGTGTGTCTGTGTCAGAGATCTCGAACTCGCGTGTGACGTTGGCCACAAACTGCAGCACTGTGCGGAAGTTGCCCGTGCCCACGCTGCTGGAGCCGTCGATGACGAAAGCGATGTCGTTGGCATTCAGGCAGGTCTTGCTGCACACCAGCCGGTCCGTGTCGCACACGCGCTTCACCAGCGGCTGCACGGCCTTGCGCAGGGCGAACCAGCTGGCCACGGGCAGAGAGAAGAAACCATTGGTCCTGCACACAGCCTGGAAGGAGAGGAGAACAGCCTTACTTTTCAAGAATTCCTATTTAGTATTTTTCAGAAAATGCTGAGAATGTTTCTCAGACGATAAATCACACTGTGGGAAACATGAAGATTGTGGGGAATTTATTCTACCACAGCGTAACGGCTTTTAAGGCCCCATAATAACCCAATGTTTACACAGTAAGTGATTAAAATATTATGTGTAAATATTGTCAATTTGTCTAACGAGTGGCTCGTTGAGAAATGTTGTTCTCCAACTGTTGGATTTTTCACTGATGCGATTTTGGGTTTACGGGCGAGTCTTGTTCCCGTCCTCACTCATAAAGGACTAGACCATTTCTTGGATGCTCCTTTAATGCCCAAGCATGACGTGTTTCAGATGTTTTTGAACATTTCACAACGTTACTAATCTCAAATCGCCCCAGCCCCAACTTTTGGAGCAGGCATCAACTTTAGTATGAGCACCAGGGCTGAACGATTGGGGCAAATATCTAATTGCGATTATTCTGACTAATATTGTGATTTAAATTGTGTTTATTTTTTATGAATTGAGGTTCAGACTAATTTGTTTTGTTTTTTTACCAATACCAGAATATACACTTTTTCTGGCTTATGGCTTGACTCCTTAATGCAGTGTGCCAGAAAGCCGGTAATTTGGGGTTGTGATGTCACAACACACAGAGGTTTGGTTGCCTCTGATTGGTCTGACTCTACAGGCAGTATACAGCTGTGTAGCTGTATACTGTAAGGTGTTAACTGTGTTAAATTTCCCCTCTTAAAATAATGTTTTTGATAATTAAGTCTATAACTTTAAAAATTGCAGCCCTTGCTACGTGAAAATTGCACTTAAATTGCGATAGAAATTTGATAGAAAAACGATTGATCTTTAAGCCCTTAAGAGCACATATTCTCAAAAAAAACAATGACGTTGAGAAGGTAAAACAACAAGATCTTGTCTTTTACTGTTTTTTTCAAAAAATTACCCCTTTCTGTGTTTGTTTTTCACAGACCGTCCAAACTTTTTACTAGTACTCAGTACTTTTGAATTTACCAATATTTTAATGTTATATTACAAATAAAGGATACATGTAGGTTCACTGGTCATTATTAAGTTCTCTACAACGCACAGTCACTCTAAATGACCATGTTTACATCTCAGCTATTGAATAATTCCGAAATGAATAACAATCTGGGGCTTTCCCTTTATTGGAGGGCTCTAGCTGATGAACTCGTCACATTAATGTTGTGGTAGAAATGTGTAGAAAAGATATTAATGCTTTAATACTGTGTATTTCAATTGTCATGTATTGTATTGCATCAGATGCATGACGAAATAAACAAATAAATGCCTTTCCACCCAGCAAACATTCTGACTAGACACAAATGTAATTTAAACATCAAACATCAATGCACAGCATAGAGCTTTCACACTTATTTCCAACTAGTTCAGATTTCTTTGCTTTTCTCGATTACCTTGTCCACAAAGTTGGCCTCCACTACATTGTGCTTCTCATTATCGTCAGGACCCTCGATGGTAACAAAGAAGATGTTGATGCCCGACTCCCTCGCCAGTCGTGACGCCTCCTCCACCTTGTCAGTGGGCCAGCCGTCTACCAAGACCACGGCTACATTGGGTGCCCCCCCTCGGTTGCCGTTGGCATCGCTGAAGTAGTGCTTGTTGAGGTAAGAGAGGGCCTTCCCTAAACAGCCACAGAGGGGCAGCAAAGATACAGTAAGTACAAACCAGCCACAGTTCACCGAGGCATAGCAGCCTCTGAACACACAGGCCTCTGTTTCAGACGTGGCACTGCGTTTTGTTTACCAGCCACTGCCCCTTAAACGCTTTCCAGTAACAACTGGGAAATGATTAACTGCATTTGGAGAACGGACACAAGCAAGAAGGCACTGATTCAGAGGTAGCGTGACATTTAATTAGAAAAAAATTTAAAGCTAAAATTGGGAGCCATAAAATGTTTGATGTATTGAAAAGATGCAAAACAGTATATCTGCCAATATACTGAGACAATTTTTTACTTAAAACAGGCCAAAAATGTCTGGAAATAAGCTAGATAATCTTATAATAAGTGCACAACCATCTCAAAAATAAGAAATATTACATAGATCGACTAGAATTAGGATAATTTCACTTGACAAGATACTATTTTTTGTATCAGTGTATCAGAACAGTGTGGTTCACAAGTGTTTTAAAGGTGGCTGGGCATTAAGAGACAGTATAACTAAATAGCAGAAGCCTGTTAAGGTGTGAGACAGGCATGGCATCTAGAACCCAGTACCAAATCTAACCCCCAGGGTGGCCCAATCCTGTCAACTTAAATGAAATCACCAGTGTGTAGCAGCAGCTCTGTAATTTACTTGACAGTTCCCACTTCAGTTTTAGATTTAATTCCAGCCTTGCATGTGTAAATATGGTAAAAGTCTGTAAAAGAAGTGATAATTGTGGCCTTTTTCGCTTTTACAATAAATTGGCTCGTGCAGACCCAGACCCAGTTTCAATCTAAAGACAAATAGAGCACTATACACTCCTCTTTTCCAACACTGTCAATGTAGATTAATCAGAAAAGTAGCAGCACAGTTAAAAACAAAAACAAAAACATTTTGTCCTTTCAACAAAAATCAAAGCCACAACATTTTATGTCTTTTATTACTTTTATTGAAGTAACGTTTTACCATCTTGGCTGTAAATATGTCTCAGTATGTGCTGATGTTCTAGTATAGACCGAAAATATAAACAAAAACACAGACTTACTTTGCTCTGCTTTAAGCTTTAGCTCAGCTATAGCCGCTTTTCTCACATCTCCAGCAGGAAACTTTTCCTCAAAAGTAGCACAGTTTCTTGTAAAATGTCTCTCAACGTTCGACTTTTTATGAGACTGAAGTCGCTTCTCATTCGCCAGCTTCATGTTCGAATTTTCCTGTTCCACCTTAAATGGTGCTGCAGTTACATTCTTGCCCCTCAGGCACCATTTAAGGTGGAACGGGACAATTCGAACAAGAAACTGACTTCAGCTTCATGACTTTTTAGTGTTCGACAGTTTCTTGCTGCAGATTAAACATATCAGGAAACTTGACAGCTCATGAATGCAAATAAGTCCATTCATCTCCAAATTATGTGTTGCTATGGTGACCAGCAGTCTGTGCTGATCTTCAGGGTTAAAGGGTGAATTAGCAGTTCTACATTAACTCCAGAGTTTAAGACCATTTATTGTTAAACTGTGTTGAACGATCAGCAGAGCTTTATTTTACTGTAAAGGAGGATTATTTTATTTTTACCTACAAATCTGATTCTGCTGTGGAGCCACAACAGGACAGTAAAAGAGCTGTCGCCGACCCCTGCCTTAGTCTAAAGGAAATGGGGGCAAACTTGCTTCTTATGAACTGGAACCTAACCTGACTTTCACTCACCCACGTTTGAGAGTCCTCCTTTCTGGACGATCTTATCGATGGCAGGCTTCAGGTCTTTGGAGCTAGAATACTGCTGCAGGCTGAACTCTGTCACTGGGTCGTCCCTTGTGAAGCAGAAAGAAAAATGAATGCTACATGTGCACCAAAGGGCCTCCCAGCTTCTTACGCCTCCCAAATAAATTATTTTATTATATCGATCACTGTATTTGTGTGACGCACAAAGATAAGAATGTTTTACCCATATTGGATGATGCCCATCATCGGTCCAGCCACACCTACGTTGATGACCTGGGAAACCTCGGCCAGGAAGTCCTTCTGGATCTTAAAGCGTCGCTTCCCAATGCTCCAGCTGCCATCCATGAGGAAGGCAATGTCAACTTTACAGTCTGCAGTGAGAGGTATATGCTTGACTTTATACAGCAGACTCTGCATTGAATTCTGGTCACTGTGCATCTGGATCATACAAGTGGAAAACAAGAGTGAACCTACTCGGGTCTCCCTGAGACACAGGCTCTGGGGCTCTGGGTAAGGAGTCCTGCTCTCGGGGGTTGAACCCTGCGGAGAATAAAGGACAAGGAATTGGAGGTGATTGTCTGTGTTTAAGTCACGCTGCTAATACGGATCCCTTCAAAACATTGCTGAACACCACCTCAGTGTGCATCCCTGGCATCATCTCTCATTCTTAGCAGAAGGAGAGGGAGAAAGCAACCGAAGCGCTCACCTGAGTCGAAAGGGTTTGCTTCTGGCTTCCACACCTCCACCGGCTCCACTGTGACAGCAACATCACACAGATCACTACATCGCTGCACCAAACGTCCAAGCAATAGCAACAACATGCAGCATGGAAAATCTCAGTGCAAGCTTGCATGGAAGAGTACTGTACATAATAACATGGGGAGACCTGATAAATAGGCCCTTTTCACATTTCCACATTTTTACTGCTGGAAGTGCTTGTTGCAGGGTAGCACGGCTTCCCCTAAAGCCCCGACAATAACAACGATGACGAGTAGAGCATCTACAGCTCACTCAAGTGTTCTAGTTTGAAGCGAAAACAGCCTTATCTGCGCATAACTAAGGAATAAACTTGGCGTAAAAGAACATATGGAGTAAAAGAACATCTGTGTCAGCTTTTCAAGCTGCTGGCTAACGTTAAAGTGCAGTTTGTGCTTTAAAGTCTCTGCTGCAGCCGCTTTCAGAGGAACAGTTTTTATTTTCTCCCTCAAAAGCTGTCCGTATCTGAGAGAGCGAGTGCTCTGAGGGGAGCAGATGGTTCTGTTTGTGTAAAACGTATACAGTGGTGCTACAGACCCTGACGACCCCCTGCCGGAATGTGTACATGTCAAGCTTTTTGCCAACTAGTTTATTGTTAGTGTGAGTCGTTTTGACATCTCATTGTGGTTGGTATAGTGTAGTGGGTAACACCTCTGCCTTCTATGCTGTAGACTGGGGTTCAGTTCCCCACCTAGGCAAGCACCCTACACTATACCAATAAGAGTCCTTGGGTAAGACTCCTAACACTACCTTCGCCTACCTGTGTAAAATGATCAAATCCTAAGTCACTCTTAATAAAAGCTTTTCCAAATGCCGTAAATGTAAACATCTCCAATATCTCTAACATGGCTAATCTTGTGTTTTGGTTATGATTATTTTCACCTGTCCATCGATTTGTCACTTTTTAGATGTTAGCTGACGCTATTGTGCTCTGATAGCTATGAAGTATGAATTTTTCCATAAAGCATTTACAACCTTTATTTAGTTTGGACTCCCACATTGTTGTGTGTGTGATTATCCAACCCTTCTGGACACATCCTCGAATTTTAATCTATGCAATCTAGGCAACTATGACAAAGATAAACTGACAAACATTTTTCTGTGGTGGCTGAAGTGATACGAACGCCTGTATTTCTAAGGTTAAAAACCGTACATAAAGCAATAGCGGAACTTGTTTTACCCAGCATTTACACGCTTCTGTTTCTTGTGAAAAGGACCTATCTATGTCTGATTTAGCAATTTTAGCACACTGTTTTGTGCCACAGTACTTTACGTTGTAAATGAGTGAAAATGAGTGTGTATGTAGCTCTCTGTTCACTCATAGAGTCCCACCAATTCCAGCAATTATGCAAACTATCTGCATAATTAAATTGTTAAGATGTAAACAGTCATTCAGAGTAGTTTGGTGTGAAATGGTCCATTCTAGAGAGTCAGAATTGTTCACAGTGGTCGTGCTAGGAACCAGACGTGCAAATTGTTTAAGTCTGAGACGTTGTTTTATGATAGTTTTGGCCTAGTACATATTTTTAAAAATCCATTTGTGGTGGCTGGTTCCCAATGAAAGCTTATTTTTCTGGATTTACAACTATTTTACCATCATTAATATTACATATAAAAACTCAGAAAACATGTGTACATGGATAAAATGGTATATTTGTGTTGTAATCATCACAAGCCCTTGTTCTCATCACAACCACTGTAAAGAAACCCCATCGAAATGCTCTGAATAAAAGCATAATAAATGGCAGAAAACAGCAGAATTCTCCTTTAACATCTCAACTGACCAATGCAATGAAGGATCAAACTGTGGGTATGTCACCTGGTCAAGAACTGCACAGGACTGCATGCTGATCACCCCAAAAGCATGTACACTGATACTTGCTGGACAGGACCTGAGTTATGACCCTTCTCCACATGGGAACAGACAGTACTCGGCATCTGTGCCAACTTGTTATGTATCACAGATGTCAGTGCAGGTAGCATCATGACATACCTCTGGTGTGTCCAGTTTCAGGGAGGAGTTTGCGGCTAGTGTCCGCTTCTGCTGGCCGAGGAGCTGAGAATAGAAATGCAAGCGTACTTAAGTCGTGAACCAGGTAGCCTGTGGTGCACTTACCATGAGGACACGGGGAAAAAAGCACATCTCTGACACTCCACTCTCATTTCTCATGATTGCTGTTCCTCCGCAATTGCACAGCTAGAGGTTTTATTTGTAGGGGTGTGTGCGCAAAAATAGTGCCAGCGTTCAGCTCTCCAAAACCAGATCCTTGCAGTTTGGATGCCTCAGCTGTGTCGCAGAGGCCACGCTCTGTGCCCTGTAATTTTGAGGAGCTAAAAACTGAGGGGCCTTTAGGATGCCGTTTGGTGTCTTGTCCAGGGTCTGTTCGTGGTTTCCCTAGACTTGTTTGATTTGGAGCTTGTTTGTTTGGGTTATGCATGCAATGCTAAAAACAAGTGGGCCTCAAACAGACAAATTAACCCTCTAATGCACGCATTATGAGAGCAATTAAAAACAATATATTCAATTCATTTTTCTTGCATAAAATCTACCTGATTATTAAATTCAAAAACATTTTTTAAATAATAATGTGTGCAGGGGTCCTTTTGAGATATGTTGCCCTGAGGCAACATTGTGCAACAATGGGACGAAATGACATAGACCAGTGTTCCCTGAAGTGTTGAGATCTGGCTTGTGACTGGCTAAATCTATTTCACTGCCCTACAATGTTGCTTGTAGGCAACAAACATACTTCTGCAAATTCTCATAACAAAAAAATGATACTGAATGTTTAAAAAGAGGTTTAAAACTGTCCACTAAGAGATAGTATGACCAATAGTATGCTTTAACTTATTGTTAACCCTGTAATTCTCGTTAAATGTGTATAATTTTAGTGTAAAGTGAGGAAAATGGGTTTGTTGCCTTGAGGCAACGTCGTGCAATAGAGGGTTAAGATCTGTCAAGGTATTCTTATGCATTCAATTTACCATTATTGGCATGCTGACATAGTTTTATGTTGGTGGATTGAGCTTAAAACTGGGCAAACAATGCCAGTTATTTGTAGAAATGCAGATAAACATAACGCATTCAGATACGCAGACACCCTAAATGCATACTGAATGCATATGTGGAGAATCCTCAGGAACTTCCTTCCCACAGTCCAAAGACATGCAGTCAGGCTGATTAGAGATACTAAATTGGTATGTGTGTGTGAATGTCTATGTCTGTGTGTCTGCCTTGTAATAGACCGGCGGCCTGTCCAGCAAGTTTTCTGCCTTCTGCCTGATGAAGCCTGACGCTGGGATAGAGTCCAGCACCCTAAGCAAACCAGGAGGTTAGAAAAAGTGTGTGTGATAGAATCATCATCTATTGTTAAAATGGTTCTTCAAGGGTTTTTTAGTAAAGAAAATGGTTCTATAAAGAACCATGAACACTCAAAGAACCTTTACATAATTAAAGGATTCTTTGCATGATGAAATGTTCTTCAGATTGATGGAGAATGTGCAGTAGACGGTTCTATATAGAACCTTTTTGTAAAGAATTCTATATAGCACCAAAAGGGTTATTGTATTGTTACAATCTCAAGCTTGTAACAATAGAAGACCCCTTTTAGTGCTATATAGAACCCTTTTCAAACAGGTTCTATATAGAAACATCTACAGCACGTTCTTCCACTGTTCACTAAAGAACCATCTTTTAAAGTGTGTAGTGTAGTAATAGGATTTAGATCTTGAAATGGCCAATGGAAAATTATCCAATCAGGATTTTTTCCCCTGTGGTGTTTAAATAGATACAGAAAAGCGAGCTTTCCCATTGGTTAGGACTTCAGGAGCTGGACTCCAGGCCTTATTAGATTAATTGCCAACAAAATTAGAAAGTGACAACCAATCATATCTTGATTTACAGTGGATGGGGCCAAATTCCTGAGAAAAAAACATCACTCTAGGCATTTTGGAAGTCCTAGATTCATCACTGACTGTGAATACAGGCGGTAGCGTGTCTTTGTCAGTTGTTAGGAATGGAAAACAGCAGCGGCAGTTCTATGCCAGGACTCCTTACTAAAACGGTCTCTGTAAAACTGGCTAAGTCTCTGTAAAACAAGCTAAGATAGGTTAATGTCTATTACAAGCTTCTATAAGCAACGTGAAATGTGTTTTTCAAGATTAACATCTGGAATGGCCATGTGCACCAGCATTAGCTTAGTGCTAACTTAACCTTCGGGGCTATCAGAAATAAACATCACCATAAAGGTGGATTTTTTCCTTCTTTCAGACCAAGTTTTGATATTTATGGCCCAAACTTAAGGCTATATTAATCATCTTTTACCTCTGGAAATGACACCATAATATCATGCATGTTGAAAGCAAACCAACACAAATGTTCATAAACAAAAACATTACAAGTTGTCCCACTTTACTGTATAAACATACACATACACATCCTGCAGTAATTCAAGAACCTATTAGGCCCCCTTTGGTTGAAAAAATAAAAGATCACTTACGGTACTGTCCAAAGTTATAATACCAGCGCTCATACTCTGAAATATCTGGCCTTGGGTCTGGAGCTGAAAGGAAAGAGCCAGGCATTTCAGACATGAGTTAGTGCAGCCTGGTGCATTGAAAGAACAAATGCACACAATGTCCATGGCTGCAGTTGGCCTGGTTAGGAAAACCAGTCATCCATTTGCAAATTAGATTTCAGAGCTGAGCCTATTTTCTTACCTCTTCTTCTTAAAAAAGCCCATATGACTAAGGCTATGGCAGCACCATATGTACATGCGCACAGTATGAAAATCATATGGGCAGCACACTGACATGACCGTATTAAAACATCTTGAAAACTGTTGACATGCCTTACACGTACGGCATGATGGAACAGAACACTTGAGTGCAAACAGGCAACAGATACTGTAGCTACATTCAGTACATCAGTATGGATAAAGCATGACTGAACTGACATATGCTTTGCATACTGATTCAACTACATGCAGATGTATGGCCCCTTTTTTCTCCTCCTTCTCCTCCTGTGGAGTACATCTGAAAGGCAGCACATAGTGGTCTTACCTGCAGAATTGCCAGTGTCCACCTCAGTCCACGTGTAGCCCCTGTCTGGCTCAGAGTTACTAATATCTAAACAAAGAGAAGTAACGGAATGATGTACAGTTCGAAAGACTCTTCATGGTATTCCACGTTTCAAGGCATGCAAAGGTTTATGATTAAGTTATACATTTAGTATTGCATTTATGAGAGTATTTATGATATTTTGCATCAGGGATCCTGATTAAAAGTCATGATTAGCTTAGGTTTATGTTTGTTTTTATTCTATTTTTAATTTAACTATTTACTGTTACTGACTGACAGTCATCTCCAGTCTGTAGAAAATAATGAAATCCCTGCTCTGTGCAAGATACCTGATGTTCTCCTGGGTCCAGACAACCAATCGGGTCGACCGTGTGCAGGGTTTGGCCATTCTCTCCTAGCAAAGTCTGAGTGAGGAGATTTGAAAGCTACTTACAATGCATCAGCCACAGAGATGAGTTCACGAGTGATCTTTAGTTAGCCCATGCAGTTTCATGAGAAAAACTTGAGACCTAGTACCCAAAAAGCTTTAGTAAGATCATACTTACTAAAGAAGAATTCCTGTGAGAAAGTATCTTGTGTGATGCAGATTACACCGGACAAGTCAGAACTTACAAAATATTGGCTTCTCTAAAGATGAGCAGAGATGTACTGGACTCAGAAACAACTGTAGGTCTCTGGTACTGGGGCGACTGGTAGCCCAGTGGTCGGACAGGTGATTTCAAGTTCAAATCCCGGGACTGACTGGGTACACCTTAGGGTGACCAGATGTCCTTGTTTTCCGGAGACGGGCCATAAAAAACAATGAATTAAAAACACACAGGAAAGTCCTAAGAAAGACCTGATAGCAGAGGAGATGGGCAGACATCTTGTGTTGTGCTTGTTTTGGCCAGCAGAGGGGGCTGCTGCTATCTATTACCCACTTCTACCACTTTCTCGCCTAGTTTTACAGAATACAGCTGTGTAAAACTCGACCAGAAGCTGAAAAGTGTAAAGTGTAAGTTTTTCCAAGTAATTTTGGGTCATTTCTTTTTGTCAATTTATCATGTAATTTATACACAATGTAAAGGGTAACAGGTATTTTCAAATTATGTCAAAAACTGAAAAATGACAAAACTGGAAATACAAGGTTTTCTTTCCATAGTTTACCAGCTTCGCCCACCATGGTAGCTACTATATGATTTTCTGTCATGGTATACAAAGTTACTTAGCTGGTACCAGATTTTATCAGTCAGTCTTCACCGTAGTTTAATACAGTACAACAGTTACAATACAGGGAACTGGAACTTGCTTTTATTTCATAGATAAAAATATATTGACCACCTAACTGGAAATGTCCCTGTTTCATTTCAGAAATCTGGTCACCTTGGTATACTGGTTGTTGCCTTGGGCAAGACACTTTACTCCCACCACCCCAGTGCGGCTCTCAGACTGGGTGTAGTTAGGCAGCCAAATGACAAATTGACCCTTGTAGGATCAATAAAAAGACATAACATAACATACTAACTTGCTTATTCGGCCTACGCCCAGAAAGCTTTAGTAGGTACACAGTCATAAATTCAGTCCTGAGCAGTCAGAAATAATTCCCAATGGCAAGTTAGATTCTCCACCACAGCATCCAGCTATTTGGCTGATTGCCTTCTGATAAACCTAAAACCATGGCCTGACAAATTCCTCAGATGCAAAACATCGCATCACTTGATCTGCAGTGTGAATGTGCAGTGCCTGAGCTCTGTCCAGCAACTTGGCCCCACAACATCCTGTCTGGCCAAAACAACACAGCGAGGGAAACCCAAACTTTTCCTGCCATGCTCTCTCTAGGGTCAGAGTAGAGAACTAATGGACTGGTGGGCTACAACAACAGTGACCAGCGAGTTCCATCCAGTGGCGGAACAGCAAGTCATGCTTGTGTTGACTACACGAGCCCCCCAGATCAGACAGCAGTAAGCCAGGCGTGGGAGTATTGTTGTACTGCAAGAGACTCTGCGGCAGCGCGGTACTGGAAGGCTCCCATAGACTACTGAGCTTCCTTGGCGCCATCCCAAAGCCGAGGCCCCCGGCCTAATGCCACAGACGATGGATCGCTGCCCTGCCATGGAGCTCAGTGCATGAGAGCGGATTCAGGCAGCTTTGTCAGAATAAGGCTAAAAGACACACATGACTCAGACTCTCGAGCTAAGGACACGAACAGGAATCTTCAGAATGCTATGTTAGCACAAGTCGTCCTGAAAATCTCCTCTGGCACGCTCTGCTGAGGCACAGATCTCTCAGTGTGTGCGCTCTCCGGTCATGCTCGCAGCTATTTTCTGAAAGTATGAGTCTGGAGAAGCCGCTGGTGGCTGGTTTACTTCCCCGTCCACTCGGTTAAACCGCTAAAGCTAAAATGGGCTGTGGAGGCTGCTGAGCATCAGCTCAATATTCATTTTCCTCTGTAAGTAACTGATTCATGTACTGTGCCTGCAGAGACGCTCATAGGTCAAAACAGATTAAGCATAAACCACAGAAATGTTTTTCTGATGTGACACACATTTCTTCAGCCTTCAAAAGCACTTTCCGGGACATTAGCGTCACATAATGTTTCGATTTAAACGTAAATAATACTGTTTAAGTGGCTGAGACAGAAACCAAAATGAAGTAGGAGGATTTAACTAAATGAGCTTCGGTATGTTTTAGTATGTTTTAATAACACCGGCCTGAAAAGTCATCATTTAGCAGTCTTCATAGTTTATTAATGCCCATAAGTATCCTAACAAAAGAAGATCACTGAACTTTATCAGTGACCTTTGACATCCATGAGATTCACTATTTGATTTTAACCATCAAAATCACACCATGTCACTTTTAATCACTGATCCAAATTTAGTTGATACTAATACTATGTTAGATATTAGGGATGTTTGTCCAGTTAGCAGGTAAGTCTCAGTTAGAAATCACACCCAAACATTAAACATGCATTAAACAACATAACTACTTTATGTAATGACAGGTGACAAAAGAAAATGAAGAAACTTAATGGGTACAGATGTTTCCAGGTGTATGGCATGTTAAGCAGTTGACCCATGTACATTATTTCATATAAAGGCTTATTATTCAGTAACTACAGGGACTTCAATGAAAACAAAAGGAGCTTTTCTTGAGTTATAAAAGTGTGTAATAAAATTTTGGGCGCTTGACTTGTTAAGGGGTTAACATCCTTCCATGATCTGGTATGGTGGCATGTATGAATGTGCTAAGCAGGACCTGTTGACCTTGTTTGTGTCGAGATGGCAGGAGAAAAAGATCTAAGAGGCTTTGAATGAGGGTTCACTTCTGGCAAACTGATGGCAGGAGCGTTATTACCAAAGACTGCTAAATCGTTTTAATAAGAACGACGACTACACAGCAAAAAATAAAATTTGGCAAGTGAAATTATCCTAAATCTGGTCAATATATCTAATATCACTTGTTTTGAGACTGTTGTAACCTTGTTATTAGATTACTAATTTCTAGACGTTATTACTTGTTTTAAGTGATTTTAGTGAGTCAAATGGTCTCACTATATTGGCAGATAATTTGGCTTATTTCAAGCACGTACTACAAGCAAAATAAGCTGCCAGTACAGTGGGATAACACAGTGGCTTACTAAAATCACTTCAAACAAGTAGAAAATGTCTAGAAATAAGAGAAATACACTTATAATGAGTTTATAACAATCTCAAATTGAGAAATATTAGATATATCAACTAGATCTACGATTGTTTTGCTTGCCAAGAGACCATTTTTTACAGCGTACAGTAACATCTGCATTTAGATCTACACTCTTAAAGATGGTTCTTCAAGGTTTCTTTAGTAAAGGTAGTGGTTCTATATAGAACCATGAACACTCAGAGAACCCTTTGCATGATTAAAGGTTTCTCTGCATCATGGAATGGTCCCTCGGATTGACGGAGGATGTCTTTTTTATGGTTCTGTATAGAACTTTTGGAAAAAGGTTTTGTACAGCACCAAAAATGTTTCTTCTATTATGATATCATACCTATAACAGTGGAAAAACCCTTATTGGAGCTCTATAGAACTGTTTTTAATAAGGTTCTATTTAGTACCATGTACAGCACATTGTGCATCAATCTGAAGAACCATTTTACCATGCAAAGAACCCTTTGATTATGCAAAGCGTTCTCTGAGTGTTCATGGTTCTATATATCCTTTTGAAAAGGATTCTGTATAGCACCAAAAAGGTTCTGCTGTTATGATATCAAGCTTGAAACGTTAAGCCCTTTTTGGTGCTATATAGAACCATTTTTAATAAGGTTCTGTTTAGTACCATCTACAGCACATTGTGCATCAATCTGAAGAACCGTTTTACCCTGCAAAGAACCATTTAATAATGCAAAGCGTTCTCTGAGTGTTCATGGTTCTATATATTCTTTTGAAAAGGATTCTGTATAGCACCACATAGAACCACTGTCTTTGCTGAAGAACCCTTAAAGAACCAAGTGTGTATGCGAAAGACATGAGAAAATTGTGGTAGAAAGTGCACATTCAGTGATCGTGATGCTCGTGTATTAGTGCGATATGTAATATCAGTGCAATATCTTTCAGAAGAACAGTGATCCGTCCCTCCAAGGAACATTTAGGCTGTTCTAGTAGCGCAACTTTTTACTGAGATAGTTTTTTCCCTTAATTTGCCACCCATCTGTGTATAACTAATACTGAATCGACACACTCCTTATAAAAGTTGTCAAACGCAACATATCGTCACTGCCCAAAAAAACTGTACCTCTATTTTTGGCACTTTTCATTTGAATACGGTGGCCGTCCTTTACAATGTGTGACAATTTCATGTCAAATGGACCAACAGAAATGCAGAATATTTTTGCCCCCCCGTCAAGTTACTATTTTGGACATCCATGTTTTTCTTTGGACAGCGATGGTATGGAAGCTAAGAGTGAAAGAAAGCTACAGAAAAAGAAAAGGACCAGTTGACATTATCTTGTGTGTGTAATCCTAACTTTAGTGCTTTAGGTGACGCATTCCTTTAAGCGGCTCTTGCCAAGGATGTGCAGCTGAGCAACCAGCAGCCGAGTCCAGGACAACCTCGCAGAGGGACGTTCAGTTCAAACGCCTTTGTAAAATGTTTCAAAGGGAGATTTTATAGCCTGTACTTGCTGTCTGCTTTTAAACGGTTCAGCTATTTTGACTCAGATACTCACGGAACCTGGCACATGTGCGCTGTTTGATGTACAGTAGTGAGCATGCAAACACACACACACACACACACAGGGCCTGCAGATACTTACTAGGATTAGAGTGGACTGTGTGCTGGTTCCTCTCAGGCTGGACCAGCTGAACTCGATTGAAAGCTGCGGGACAATGCGAAGCAGGCGGGGAAGAGAGAAGAGAGATAGGCAGGGAAAAAAAGGAAGAGATTCATGACTGCGCAGCAGCTGTTTGGTTTCGGGGCGAGGGCGATGAGGGCCCAGCAGGGTCTCAGTAGCAGACATGCAGACAGATGCTGAGCGTCCTTAGACCAGGGGTCTGAAAATTCCTTGCTGTTTTTCACTCTCCGTCTCTTAAAACGGAGAGTGAAAGGAGGACGCATTGGCAAGGAGTTCTAGGTATCGGTATCACTGTATTGGGGTGATAGTAAGTGTTTTAGTCTTAACAAGCACCCAGAGTGAGAAGATTGCAAAAGGGCTGCGAGTTAGAACTGCGTCAGTCGTTCAATGAGCCAATCAGGTTAGATGATTTGTTAAATCTACCTTGAACATCAGCGACATACAGTACTGTGCGAAAGTCTTAGGCCTAGTCCCATTTCACCCCTGGCCCCTACCACTTAGCCCTACCCCTTAGATTTGTGCGTTCATATCTAGGGGTAGGGTGTCCTGATTCTTGAGGCACCAGAATGTAACTGCTGCTCCATTTACGGTGGAACGGGAAAATTCAAACAAAAAGCTGGCGAATATCTGACTTCAGCTTCATATCACTGAAGAATTAGGGGTGGGTGATAATAAATAATTGCCCCCCTCTTTGAAGGCATATGATGCCCTAAATGTAACTAAAGCCCAGCAGTGAGGAGCTGAACTTTACCCTCCTCTGCTGTCTCTGCAGACTGGCAGGGTCACCTACAGAGCAGAGCTAGTAGCTGTTAATGAAGTGATGCTCTTTATTTGAGGGTCCCATTTCAGAGGGAAGATTTCAACCACTACCCTGTAACTCTGTTCTAAGGGGCAAAGTGACACTCAAAACAAGGAGTAGGGGTAAAAATCAGAAATGGGACTGGGCCTAAATACAGTAAAACATTATAAGAATTTCATGTTTTAAAAACGTTCTTGATATGTTGGTTATAAGAGCACAGTTAGAGGCGCACCAGTTTGGTTCCTGACTTCTCTGTGAACTGGCCAAGCTACACTCTTAAAAAGATGGTTCTTCAAGGGTTCTTTGGTAAAGAAAATGGGTCTGTATACACTTGTAAACAGTCAAAGAAACAACTGCATGACTAAAGGGTTCCTTCCATTGTGAAATAGTTCTTCAGGTTGATGGAAAATGTGCTGTAAATGGTAAATGGTTCTATGTAGAACATTTTTGAAGAGAGTTCTGTATGGAACTAAAAAAGAGTTCTGCTGTTGTTACGATGTCAAGCTTGTAACAATAAAAGAACCCTTTTCAAAAAGGTTCTACATAGAACCATTTACAGCACATATAGCACACTACAAATATGTATAGGTTTATATGTAGATGTACAGTGTGCTGTATAGAACCCTTTTCAAAAAGGTTCCATTTCACAATGCAGAGGACCAAAAAGAGTTCTGCTGTTGTTACAGTGTCAACCTTGCAACAATAGAAAAAACCCTTTTTAGTGCTCTATAGAACCCTTTCCAATAAGATTCTATATAGAATCAATCTGAAGAACCATTTCACAATGCAAAAAACCCTTTAGTCATGCACAGTGTTCTTTTAAGTGTTCAGGGTTCTATACAGAACATTTTCTTTACTTAAGAATCCTTGAAGAACCACCTTTTTAAAAAAGTGTAGGTATTGGATGGTAACTGCAAAGACTGGACCTTCTGGAGGAGAGGTTTGGAAATGGTTGAGCTAAGATTAAATAATAATGTGATTATATTGTTTATTTTTATTGGTTATAATGTTAGTATTTTGGAACAAATAAAGTCTTACTTATTTACATATAATACTTACATTTACATATTTTCTCATAGGCCCAACATTTTTGCACATTTGGTAGACATTCTTATCTAGAACAAATTACAGTTTAATCATGTTTTGGATGTAGGCGTATTTAGCGTTAGGAGTCTTGCCTCAGGGCACTTTTTGTGTAGCATGGTATGCTTACCCAGGCGTGATTCAAACCCCTGTTTCTGAATGGTGGGCAGTGGTACTACGCTCTGCACCAACCCAAATGTTAAGAGCCATTTGGTCCTTTCAGCAAAAAATCAAACCACTTTGGGATCCACAGCATTTTATATCCATCTTGGCTGTAAATGTGTCTCAGTGTGTGCTGATATTCTAGTATAGGCTAAAAAATATAATATAAATGAAAACACAGACTTACTTTGCTCTGCTTTAATCTTTAGCTCAGCTATAGCCACTTTTCTTGCATATCTGGCAGGAAACCTTTCCTCAAAAGTGGAATAATTTTTCAACGTTTGATTTTTTTGTGTGGCTGAAGTCACTTCTCATTCACCAGCTTCTCGTTTGAATTTTCCCATTCCACCGAACGGGAAAATTCAAACAAGAAGATGGTGAATGAGAAGCGACTTCAGCATCCCGACTTTTTAATGTTCGACAGTTTCTCGATGCAGATCTCTTCGCCTTTTCTTTAGCTGCTAGCCAGGCATATTGTTAGTCTGCGTTGCTATGGTGACCAGCGGTCTGCACGCCAACCTTCAGGGTTAAAGGGTGAATCAGCAGTTTTACATTAACTCCAGCAACTGTGTTGAATGATCAGCAGAGCTTTATTTTACTGTAAAGGAGGATTATTTTATTATTACCTACAAATCTAATTCATGCGGCTCCGGGGCCACATGTTGCCGACCCCTGCCCTACACTACACTAACCACTACTGTACAGTACTGTATGTCATTTTTTTTCAATGTCTGTTCTTACATGCTCAGAGTACTCAACCAGTCGTCACTGAGTGGCGTGGGCATGCAGAGGCCTTGGGAATTGGCTGGGATGTCTTACTCATGCCCAAGTGGGCCACATCCTTGCAGAGTTTAGTTTGCAGCTCATGGGCTTAGTAATTAAATATGGTAGAACAAACCAGACAAAAGCCTAAACTCTGCACTGCAGTCATCCTCCAGGACTGTAGTCTGGGCTGTAGCGTGACATAGGACTGAATGCCAGTGTTGCTAACCTGGAGAGGAAGGTGCTGAGGGCTGTCTCCTGATTGTGGCACCTGCCTCCGGCCTGCGTACACCTAGAAGACAGAAGGCAGGTTGAATATGTGTACATATGAATACCTTCTGTGACCTCGCAGAAATGTACCCACACCTTAATGAGATGCAGCAGAATATGAACATTTACATAATATGTATTTATTCAAAAACTAGATAAGCATAAAAATAAAATCACTATTATGAGAGACTCTATATACACAGAAAAAAGTTGTTGTATCAGTCACAAAGGTTTCTAAGGCCCTTCTTTGTCTTTGCCTGTTTTAGAAGCTAGCAATTATCTGAGCTTCCAAACCACATGTGAAAAACCCTGCTTTCGAAAGTGTAACCAGCAAAAACGCACGAGTTACGACTTCAACAAACTGTCAAGTAACATCCATCCATTGGTGTGTCTACTTTTGGACAGCATTCATTGCTTGTCCACAAATCTGCCAGTTTCTTAGGAAGTCTTGGACAGATGTCAAAAGATAGCTGTAAACAAATGCCTTCGGAAATGGTGTGGTCTTCAGTGCTGTGCAAAAGTTTTAGACACCTGATTAAAAAAAATCTTCAAAAAGCAGTAAACACCAACACTAATATTAGAATAAATACAAATTAGTGAAATGTATTGGGACACCCCTTCTAATTACTGAGTTCAGGTGTTTCAGCCACACCCCTTGCTAACAGGTGGATAAAATTAAGCACATAGCCTTGCAGTCTCGATAGAGAAACACTGGCAGTAGAGGGTCGTACTGAAGAGCTCAGTGACTTTAAATATGGCACTGTCATAGGATGCCGCCTCTGCCACAAGTCAGTTTGTGAAATTTCTGTCCTGCTAGATCTGCCCCTGCCAACTGTAAGTGCTGCAATTGTGTAAAGGATGGACTCTGGAGCAGTTTCAGGAGAACGTTACCTGCCTGACTGCACTGTGCCAGCTGTAAAGTTTGGTGGAGGAGGGATGATGCTTTGGGGTTGTTTTTCAGGGGTTGGTCTAGAACCAGACCAAGACATTTTGCACAATTCTGTGCTTCCAACTATGTAGGAACAGTTTGGGGAAGAACCTTTCCTGTTCCAGCATGACTGAGCCCCAGTGCACAAAGCAGCTCCATAAAGGCCTGACTGGGTGAGAACTTGACTGGCCCTCACAGAGCCCTGACCTCAACCCCATCAAACACCTTTGGGATGAACTAGAACGGAGATTGTGAGCCAGACCCTCTCGTCCAACATCAGTGTCTGACCTCACAAATGCTCTTCTGGATGAACAGGCAGAAATTCCCTCAGACACTCTCCAACATCTTGTAGAAGCTTCCCAGAAGAGTGGAAGCTGTTACAGCTGCAAAGGGGGACCAACTCCATATTAATGCCTATGGATTTAGAATGGGATGCCATGAAAGCTCCTGTAGGTGTAATGTGTAGATGTCCCAATACTTCTGTACATTTTGTGTATGTTAAAGTGGGATTATTTGAGAACGGTCATAAAAGTTTCTTCTGCCAGTCAAGCAATGGAAGCTATATAGATAGTTCACGTATGGAGAGCAGTGGCACAGACATATCAAGCATTGGTTTTGTGAGGACAGCAAGTGGGAAAAATACTTTAACCAGCATAATAAAGAACACAAATGACTCAAGCCAAAGAGCACTTAGCATTTCTTATCTTACCTTGGCATATAAGATGTATAACATATCTTATTTTGGGCAACTGTATCTTTTAAAACTTGAGAAAGGAGTTTACCTGGATTGATGCGGGGTGAGTATCTACTGGCGTGGGCAGGACCACCTCTGAATGCTTTGGAGAAACGTAACATTCAGAGCTTAGGATGACAGTGCAGTACCAGGTGAAAACTTGCTGTGTGCCAACTGAGAACATCAAAAGGGGACGTACCTTGAGGAAGACCCTTTCCTTGGCCATTCTGTGACTGCCCTATAGCCAATGTTGAGACAGAATGATTCATGTGGTTTAACATGGGCATTCAGGCAACATTGGATAGAGCCAGTATCATCATACTTTTCCTTCTTTGTTTACTTAATACATGCTCTATCATTAGTGTCGGCATTGGACTAACATATTAGTCAGGAATAGGCCATAGAATTGTCCATGATACAAATATACGCTGCTTCTTCTACAGTTGTTTACAGCAATAGCTTAGAGCATCACCTTCAAATGCAGTTAATAAAAGTAAGGGCTGAGAGAAAGCTACACCACTGTGCTCACTGAAGACTATAATCACGCACCTTAACGCCCACAATTTCACCAAAAAGGCATTTATTGCTCTGGTATAAACGTATTCAGGCCACTTCGGACAGGCTGGCGCAACATCAGACAGGATAATAAGGAAACCAAAAACCCAGAAGACCCAGAATGACCAGAGAGCGAAGGCTAAAACATTGCAGAAACCTGCTTCATGCGCACTGTACTTACTTGCACTGGCTGCTGCAGCCACAGAGGCAAAGTATGGGTGACTGCTGCCTGAATTGGAGAAAGGGGGACACTTTAGAGGTAGCGAAAAAGAAAGAAAGAGAGTCCAACCTGCTCAGGGCACATAAAAAGACTGCTTTGATGCCATTCCCTCAAAATCAGCATCCGAAGTGTCTCTCTACAGTTTGCATGGCAGCACATGTGTCATACAAATGTAAAGGAGGCCTTCAATTGAATGATCATTTATGCAGGGTAATGTGGTGCTGAAAACTTCAGTATACTGTACCTTAGTTACAGTGGATCAGGGATTGCTGACCGCATTAGATTTTCATAAAAATCCACAATCCACCACAGAATGAATGAACCATTTGACAAGAAGACATATTTTATAAGTTTATAAGTCACATGCACATGAACGAGTCTGTGCAGAACGGTAGAGACGAGCTAACCTGCATCTCGGACTTTATGGACAGCAGCTCGAGGCTTGGTTGTGGTGGTGGAGGGCGTGGGCGCAGGAGTTGTGGGAGGTGGAGTTGTGGTGGTTGTGGTGGTGGAGATGGTGGTTGGCTCCGGCAAGGTTGTTGTGATTGGCTCAAGGGCTGCTGTGACTGGAAGTGCGGTGGAGACTGGCGAGGCTTTGGCTTCCTTCTGACCTTCAGAGAGACAGATGGGCGAGGGGGGGAGAAACAACTTTTACAGTAAGAGCAGTGTTTAACTACATTCCACTGCTGTTGGACTAAGACAGCCTGAGGCACAGATACCTCAGCCTACTTGTAGGCGGCTTTCTCACAGGCATACTTTGTCATTCTGTAGGACAGTGGTCACCAACCCCGATGCTGGAGATCTGCTTTCCGTTCCAACCACAATCTGCGACACCTGCTCCAGCTAAATAACTTCTGCAAAAGTTCTTCATTGGCTTGGATCAGTTGCATTAGTGTTAGATAAAGCGGAGGGACTTGATGTTAGATGCAGATTGGATCTAAACTTGGTGGGGAAGAAGATCTCCAAGAGGAGGGTTGGCGACCACTGCTGTAGGATGACAGCTCGGCCTGCAGGTATAAAATTTGGCCATTGGAATTGGGGTTCTTTTGGTACAAGATCGTCACGAAGGTTTAGAATACCTCAGCCCCCACTTCCCATTTCTACAGATCTGCTAAGAATAGCATAAGGCCTTCAATCTTACAACAACAATAGAGTTCCATTTTGTGCATATCATCATCAGATTACTCTGAATATCCAATACAGAGTGACCCAAAATCCCCCTTACTTGTTTTCACTGTGATGGGTTTTGAAGGAGTATAGTCCAGGGTAGAGGGGTAGATCACACCTTTCTTTGGTTTGCCCACTGAAATAAAAGCAGAAGCTTGAACACATCAGCTTACTTTGAAAGTTAGGACTAAGCAAAAACATCTCTGATTGTAACAGTCATATCATATAGTTCAGTTTAGCTCTTCACAGCGGATCACGTTACCTTCAACAGTGAAAGACTCTCTCCAGTTGGGAAGGGAGAGTGACCTTACGCCATTAGCGGCACTACCCTTATAATCCGACTGACCTGCCATCTTCTTCACAATCACCTTCCCTCCAGCATTGGTGATGACCCCACTGGAGAGAAACCATAGAAGTCTCACTCCATATGCAAAAAGTACTGCAGTGGTTTAGATCTGAGAATGGTGAAGTTGATATGAACTGATTGAATTGAATACCTTTTTAATAGCATTTCCACCACATAGCAACACAAATATGACGTATTAAATGTCTATTTTAGTCAAATCTATTGAAAAAACATGGAGCTTTGGGATTGCATGATCCTTACATGGCCTTTCAATGTGTATGACTTTTTCGTCCGTTCTGGTGTCCTCTAGGCCTTCATCAGCGGTCAGTCTTGACCACAGGACTGCTGTCTACTGGATGTTTTTGGTTTGTGAACTATTCTGTGCTGGTTTAACATAAATGATGACTTGACATAGTATATAGGAATCGTCTTACAACTTAATTTGGGGTGTCAGTTTGGTTATTTTTATAGAAAAAAAAGCTGTAAATATGCTGTAATTTCATACTTTGCACATTAGCTACTCTTTCTGTAACTTTTGAACACACTATTTCTGCTAATGTCAGTTTTAAACCAGAACAAGTGCAGTGAGGCCGGTAAAGCGCAATCAGATTGGTTGAAAACTGTCACAACAAGTGGAAGGAAACACTCTCTAGTCTCTAGCTGCTCTCTGACATTTTAGATTTAGACGAAAGGCAGCTAGTCTGAACCCAGTGGACCTTCCTTTTTTAAACAGTTCAAGACTTTAGACATCTAAACTGATTTGTTTCCTTTTGAAAATAAGCATCACTGCTGCTGTGTGTGGATAATGCAAGTTTAAGGTACTAAAAAGTAGGATCAAAACTGGATCAGATTCATTTTAGCTGATATCAGATCCACTAAACTATGTCGCAATCAGACATCCCTAAATTTAGTACATTTTCAGACCTTTTATGACCTTTTCAGTATCTTTTTTTAAGACTTTATCAGACTTTTTAGGATATGCAGGAACCTTGTATCTGTACGGTAATTGTAGTGTAACGTCCAGGACTGTACAATACACTCTTGGTTGATGGTTCTTCAAGGGTTTTTTAGTAAAGAAAATGTTCTGTTTAGAACCATGAATGCTCAGAGAACCCTTTGCATGATTAAAGGGTTCTTTACATTCTGAAAGTGTTCTTCAATTTGATGGAAAATGTGCATGGATGTGCTATAGTTGGTTCTATATAGGGTAGAAAAGGGTTCCATATAGCATCCAAAAGTGTTCTTCGATTGTTACAGGCTTCTATATAGAACATTCTATATAGAACCATATACAACACATTCTCCATCAGTCTGAAGTACCCCTTCATGATGTAAAGAACCCTTTAATCATGCAAAGGGTTCTCTGAGTGTTCATTTTCTTTATTGAAGAACCCCTGAAGAACCATCATTTTTAAGTGTACTGTAGTACCTGGTAAGGTTTAGGACGATTCACATGCTAGAAACATCAGGCCTTATAAAAAACATAGATTTGACCACCTTTAATGACGTACGAACTACTCTGCGTCTGTTTAATGAAACTTTCAACTGATGTGGAAACATTTGAGCACAAATGATTAATCAGTTTCGGTGCGTGAAATCAAGTGCCAGCCTACCGGCACCTCATTTACATATCATTTACATGACATGCAGAAATTTCAACAACAGTATTGAGTGGCGTCATGAGGCAATGGCTGCGCTTGTAGATGGAGTTTGAGGTCGAGCAGTGAGTGCACGGCTCCCCCTACTGACCAAACTTCATAGTGTTAAACTTACAACGAATAAACGGCGAAATAAACACAACGACTTGGTTGGAACATGGAATAATTCCAGCTAAGCATTTGTCTATACTAGTCTACATGTAAAATAAGTACATCTTTCTGTTCCTGTTTACCTTATTGGTGTTCTAGATTCTAGGTTTGTTAACCTATTACGCTCAAATGTACACAGGCCTACCAGATATGGGTTTCACTGTTGATACGGCAAAGATGAAAATTTGCGCACGCTCATTTATGTTAAATTTGTATGCAACTTTGATGAATGAGGGCCAGCGTGTTGTAGATGCCTGATTAGATTTTCGACACAATATGCAAACTTACCTGTGGATGGCAGCGTTGCAAATGCTGGATATGGAGGCAAAGACGCCTGTCCCATACACCCTTTGCATGGTCTCCCGGCAGCTAGCAGGACACCTAACGATAAACTCGGGGTAGCTGATTTTTCCTGCCCTCACATCACACTCTATATCTGGCACAACTGTGTGGAGATAATATGATTGGATAAAGCTCTGCACAGAGGTCAGAAATGCAAATGAGACCCATGTAAATGATTGACATAATGAATTGTTGCTGTTCGAAGGTACCTTGTTTTGCCTTCTTGTTCTTTCCATTTGGCTTAGCCTCACTGCTACAAATCAGTAGAAACGCTATGGGGGAAGAGAATGAATACACAAATTTGCTGAAACCCTGAACATAAGCACATAGAAGAACATATTGCAGATTGATTCTCATCTAATAATACTCTAAAAATCCATACGACCCAAAGTGTATAAGCATATAAAGGGCCTCACCAACACAGACGGTGATAATAGGTGCTCTGAACATCTTGGACGAAGGAGCAGAGAGGATACAGTTTGTTCCTCAGTTGTTCTCTCGGCCCGTTCACTAACACCTGAAAGAAGAAATAAGGTGGTAATGACTCCTTATGCATAGTAATAAACAATAAGGTGGCAATAATGGATCCAGTTAGGTTGAACAGATTTTACCTCGGTAAATACCAAAAACCACTAGTCATAAAGGAGCAATTATAACACCATAAATCTAGTCACACCTATTTGAGCTTATTGGACATCTCATTCCAAAACTATGGGGATTAATATGAAGTTGACCCTTTTAGTGGCTATAACAGCCTCCACTCTTCTGGGAAGATTTCCACAAGATTTTGAGTGTGTCTATGGGAATTTTTGTCCATTCAGTCAAAAAAGCATTCGTGAGGTCAGACACTGATGTTGGATGAAAATGACTGGCTCACAGTCAGCGTTCCAGTTCATTACAAACATGTTCAGTGGGGTTGAGGTCAGGACTCTGTGTGGGCCACTGGAGTTCCTCCACATCAATCTCATCAAACCATGTCTATATGGAGCTCACATTGTGCACTGGGGCTCAATTGTACTGAAACAGGAAAGAGTCTTCCTCAAACTGTTGCCACAAAGTTGGAAGCATATATTTGTGTAAAATGTCTTTGTGCTGCAGCATCAACATCACCCTTCACTGGAACTAAAGGGGCCCAAACCCTGAAAAACAGCCCAAGCTCATTATCCCTCCTCCACCAAACTTTACTGATGGCACTGTACATTCTGGTGGGTAACGTTCTCCTGGCATTCGCCAAACCCAGACTTGTCCATCAGACTGCCAGATAGAGAAGTGTTATACCACTCCAGCTGACACTTGGCATTGTGAATAGTGATCTTAGCCTTGTATGCAGCTGCTTCACAAAGCTTCTGACACACAGTTCTTGTGCTGATTTTGCTTCCAGAAGCAATCTGGAACTCTGTATTGAGTGATGCATCAGAGGATAGACAATTTCTATGCACTGTTGTTGCTCCTAGATGCTTCCATTTCATGATGATAGCACTTACAGCATGCTCTCACTCTACTGCCAATGGTTGTCTATGGAGATTGCATGGCTATGTGCTTGATTTTATTCACCTGTTAGGAATGGGTGTGGCTGAAACCCCTGAACCCAATCGTTAGGAGGGGTCTCCACATACTTTTAGTACTTTTAGCCATATAGTCTTATTTAGGGATGAGAAGGTGAGGTTTATATGAAAGGAATAATTAAGCATCACAAATAAATTCTGAGCTAAAATATTTCTTATAACAGCCAAGCATTCGGCCCACATGCAGGGAAGATGACATTAATGTGAATTTTGGTAGCATCTCACCTACAGTGATGGAAGCATCTTTTTTCTTTAATCTTGTTTCTTGATCTTTAGTGAAACAGTGCTTTACTGACAGATGGTCAGTTCTCAACTGTCACTGTCTTTAAACTTAAATAAACAACAGAAACTCACTGTATTAAATAATATAAATATTGTAGGACTGGGGACGGAGCTACCCCGAATTTTTTGCAATTAGGACTTTTATTAATGACCTTACTTTTCTCATTTTTTGTCAGTTCTATTACTAAAAAAAGCTTTAATTTTAAGTTGTTCAGTGTTTTCAGTGACAAAACTGTTTATGATTTTGCCATATCATCGAGAGATTGCAAATTTGAATCCTGCCGATGTCATGACCTAAAAAAAACTACACTTGGAAATATCCGGGCAATCAAGCTCTAGTTTGTACCATAAAGATCTTATAGCCAGGTAACAGGAGGCAGTTGTGGGCTGGAGATTAGGGAACCAGCCCTGTGACCGGAAGGTTGCCGGCTCGATCCCCTTGGCTGATAGTCCATGACTGAAGTGCCCTTGAGCAAGGCACCCAACCCCCAATTGCTCCCCGGGCGCTGTGGATAGGGCTGCCCACCGCCCCGGGCAAGTGTGCTCACTGCCCCCTAGTGTGTGTGTTCACTAGTGTGCATGTATGTGGGTGTTTCACTGCACAGATGGGTTAAATGCAGAGGTCTAATTCCACACTGTGCAAAACACAGTTGGCTGATGGTTCTGAATTCAATTCAACTTTGTTTTGCTGAACTAGGTATCCTGGCTTTGTATTTTATCGGTTATTCTCAGTTTTCTGTGGTGTGGACAGTATACAGCAGTTAGATTAACCTAACATTATGAAGTCTTGGAATTTTCACCACCTACAAACTTGATACTGAACTAGACTATTGACTCATAGTAAGTCAAGTATGTGGTGATATAATCAATACCAAATGTATCTCAGCTCCTCATAGCATTTGCTTACTGTATATTACTGACGACAGTCAATCAAGAGGTCAGTGGAGATGATTAACAAGTCCATACTTCTGAAACAGTCATTATAGCCCACTTAAATGATGTGTTCTCCTACTTCCCAGCATCCCAAGCTAGAGTCTGCTGACAGATATAGAGAAAGAACGGGCAGCACAGCCTAATTGCGCTGTGGGAGACAAGCCTTGAAATTAGGCTCCTGTTATCTCTGTTATGAGAGGTATGCCAGGAAACCTTCTGCACTAGCCAGCATCTCAGTCTCTGCCTGGTCATTCGATGGTCAAGCATGATTAAGGGTGACCGTGTGGTCAACCAGCGATCCCAACCTGAGGTGAACACAATGAAGAGCACACTGTCTGAGACTGACTGTACCCTTGTGATGTTAATGAAGGGGTTGAGAAGAGGACAGCTGGTCAGTTCAGAAGAGTAGACAGGTACAGCGCAACCGGCAACTGTGGAAGAACTATCGCTCTCCTGGGGCCCAAGATGGGCCTCGAAGGGCTAATCTAGGAAAAAGGAATGAAAAAGGATCCCACATCCACAAATCTTTTGTGTTGATGTCACGTCTCAAGGCTGCGGTCCAACAGTGGATGACAGTATTGACTATTCTAAAGGTGGTGTTGCAAATAAGACTTGTCAGCAAGTTGGAAATGAGTCATTTGAATTTGCATTGTTCCAGTTCTAAACCCTGATTGGCTGAACATCTTTCAAACACGCACTAATACTTGGGCTTCTGTATTGATGCAGCAAGTTCAATGGGAATTCCACTAGTTTTTAAAAGTTTTTGTATACTCAAATTATTCAGATGTAAACATAAGTTACTAATGTACAGTTAGAATTGTTCACAGTGGTGATGATAGGAACCAGATGTCCATTTAGTGCCTCTAAAAGATGCCTCACAGAAATGTACTGCACCAAATGGTTTATGAATTCATAGTGCCACGCCTCAGTCATAGTTTTATGATAGTTTTGAGAGACGTTTTGTGGCTAAAATGTATTTTTTAAAAGTCATAAATTGTGTAAAAAGGCAAAATAATACACTTTAGAATTCTTTTTTTCCCAGATTTAGCACTATTTTACCATATCAACACAACATATAAAACTTAGGAGATGTGTAGGTTCACTAGTTGTTTTTGGATTGTAAACAGAATGGCTATATTTGTGAAGACATCAGTATTGTTTTCTCTACAAAGCACTATTTGATGCTAAAACACTCTGAATTACTTTATTTTCATATCAATGACTAAATTATACCAAAATTAAAAAACATTTGATGGCATTAAAACTTCTGAAACATGACATACTTCGAAAAAGCTAATGCGCACCAGTGCTCTGCATCACCTGCAGTGAAAAATTTAGTTGACTAAAAATGAAACTAAAAGTTCAGATTAAAAAAGAAAAATTAAATTTCTTTGTCCTTTTATCACAAATATCATTCCAAAATGAACTAACTATATTGCTTGGCAAACTGTTTATTGCAAGTATATTAATAAAAATACTGAATTAATAATTAATTGATAATAAATCCAGTTATTTCTTGAAAATAATTGCATTTAAAATTGTGCCAAACAAAATCCCTTAACCGTGGTCTCTTAAAATCACTGTAACACTCTGCCCATTGTGACCACCGCTTTAATATACCATGAAACGTTCTCTGCTGTACTAATTTTTCTAGTCAGCCCAGAACTGAGAATGTTTTTATAGGCTCCTCACTGTACACCCTCTTATAAAACCCTCACGTGACCTGACATATTCCCCCGAGCAGACTGAACACCAGCCTCTCTTGGGCAGCCCTCCACGATATCCCTCTCAGCCATACAAAACAGAGTGAACAGAGGAAGAGAGAGAGAGGGAACATGCTGAAACACATGCATGTCTTATTGAAGACAGAACTGCCGCGTATTAGCAGCGAGTCAGGGTACGAGGCTGTGGAAAACGGAAACCACTTTCGTCATTTGCCAAACACCTGTTATTACTACCGTGTGTTCACCTATATTAGGTTCTCCTCCAGGCCTGCAACCGAAGCCAAGCGGAGGCTGACGCGTGGGAGTTTTCACCCATTACTGCTGGCGGCGAACAAGAGTTTGTGTTGGAGAATAGCGGATGTGACTAGAGGACGCCAAAGGGAAGCCTAATAAGGGGAAGTGACTTGTGTGGGTGTGTGGGACAGTAGCCAAAAAGATGATTAAAAGGAAAACACAGGGCTAGGACCTGGATGTTTTCATGGGGTGGAAAATTAAACGAAAGTTTAAGTGCAGACTTGAACCGAGAGAGCATTACTGGCCTCGCTCTCCCCCCATGCATAGCATGTTGCTAGCCAGTGTGGACGTCTGTTAGCTGGAATAACAGAATTACATTCTCCTCCAAGCGTGTTGAACTGTCAAATGATTATTCATTAGCAGCTGTTTTCAAAAGCTCCTGAGTGCAGTTTAAGCTTATCCCTTCATCAAATGGGGCCCCATTATCAGGAGATCATGAGTTCAAATCCTGGCAATGCCACGGCCATCAGTGGCCGGGGGTCCAGAAGAGGACAATGGGCCGTGCTCTCTGGGAGCTCATTGATTTTAATTCCTTGGCTTCTCTCTTAGAATGCATTAAAGGTGGCCCACCAGCCAATGTGCCACAGTTTTCACAGGGTAGCACCACTGTGAGCCATGGTTAACAAAGTCAGCTAAAGTATAAGTCTTTTTCTCTGACTAGACCTTCAAATTAAATTAACTACAGACAAAAAACACAAAACTGACATTGAGAACTGTAA